AGAACAAACAAATTTGTAGCATAAAAGGTCGTATGCAATAAGAAATTTTAGTAAGGTGTGGGGTTATCCACACATGTTTCACTGTTCATTTGAAGTTTCCGTTCCTTTGGGATAAACAGGAGGCTAGGTAACCTCTGTTAGTCCTGGCAGTGGTGGTCTCTCAGTTGACCCTAGCTTTTTTCTAAAGGGTTGACAGCTAGGGCTTTAATCAGACTTTGTGGTAAAGAATTCCATTCTTTTACGATTTTATGAGAAAGTCAATAGTCAGCTCAAAAGTAATTTCTTTTGGGCTTGTGAACATATTTTGAGTGTTCTCATAAATTCTCTGTTTTGGAAGACAAGATAAATAAGGGCATATAGGATGGGTCAGACCAGTGCAATACCAAAAAATTTTAAGCACTTCACCTCTTAGATAATGGATGAGCGCTGCATACAATAGTGTAAATTCCACTTAGGTTTTCATTAAAGCTACGCACACATCTTTTATGAAAATATCATCAATTTCCACCCCAACTTTCCAGATGCAGAAAGCAAAACAATTAGAGATCAAGTTTCGAAACGAAATCCTCAACAAAAAATACGTTCTTGGGTGCAACGTTCACTCAAAAAACGACCCAAAAACCATCTGAACTCCAAACGTCTGTTGTCTAAAAAGTGTCCTAATTCAGGTCTTTGAAACTGCAAAATTTTGTAGCGGCAAACAAATCCCCAAAATAAATATCTCTGTAAGTATTCAACATTAGATGCTGACCACATTAGTTTTAATGGACTCACCTAACTGAAGGCTGCCGGTCATGCATCCTCACCAGATCATGAGTGAGAACGCCGTGCTCAACATCCCCCGCAATCGCTAGCCAGATTAGATCAGACGATCCTCGATATATTGGTAGCCTATCAATTATATCGTCGAACCTCCTCGCTTCTGTCCCTTGATTTCACTTGGTGGGTACGATTCATATTGGAAGGTGTTACTGGCTAAAGCGTTGTCAAACTTTGAATACCTGTGGCATCTTCACGTTGTAAGATGGGATTATTTTTTCTTGTACGTGTCAGCATCTAAAGGTTGTTAATTAAGAATCTCTCAGTGGTGAAAATACAGTCAAAAGAAAACGGTATTTTTCTGTTTTTTTCATAGGATTCCCGACCCCACACTTCAAAATGGTTTCAGTCTTTCAACGCTGTAAAAAACCGAGGCTTAGTAGCACTATCCTCTTCACTGTGTGTGCTTAGTTGATTTATTTCCAGGACGACTGAAGTCTACTATGATAACGATTTAAATATGCGTTAGACAAACTGAGTTGGCTAATTCTTCTATCGTCCAGTTTTTGTGCCGAAAATTAGTGACAAGCCTAATATATGTCACTCTAACCAGACAACTTTTGGCCGTAGATTGGCTCGCCGAGGTTTACACAGATTCATCGAGATTCAAAATCACATGAGAGTATTCCTGACAGATCTGTTATATGCTTGGTGTGGCTGAATGAAATATTAAAAACTTCCTGACGGAACCATTTGAAATCACATGTATGTTTGCCATCCTTGTCTGAATGAGCCTTTTGCTGATGAGGTAAAAGCCAAAATAGAGGGGGCTTTACAGTTTAGTGGCCCTTGAATCTCACATCTTTCATGTTCTGAGCAGCCTTCAAGTAAGATGCTCAGTTACAATTAATTTTTGCATTAAGCTATGTTTTGTCCGGATATCCAGGTCCCTGACCGAATAAATCAGGAATCTCGTTTCAAAAAGGGCAGTGATTTTTGTACTTGTTGTGGTTATTCTTGCTTTGGGTACTTATTGCACCAAAAAGCATTCTTGGTCTACTTTAACTAAAAGTACTTTGGTTAAAGTTTGAATTTTTTTGCTAAATTTTGTCCTAGGTACCTTTTTTACTCCTAGACTAACACTTGTGTTCACATTGTGATCATTGTGTGTTTTTAAACCTTTTAAATCTAATTACAATGGTTGGTAAGACTCACAAATGTGGGCAACCAAATTGTTTGTTCCCCGTTGAGGAGGGAATGCAGTGTGATGACTGTAAAAAGTGGTACGACAAAATGTGTACACGCCTAAGTCTGATGGCATACAAAAGATGCTCGAAGCCTAACTCGCATTGGCTTTGTATGTTCTGCTGCACGGATAAAAAGGTACTAATTCAGGAGGCTATGGGCCTATTGGCTTTGGCTTGCATGAAAAACGATGACACATGCGCTGACAACGCAGGCACTGACATTGACGATTGTGTCAGTGTAGTACCTGTTGTTACGCGACGCCTCAGACAACCGACTCTGACTAACGCAAAAGTGAGATCGCCGTTAACATTAACAAAGGGAGTAATACCACCTGGTACTGACATTGATAACAATGCACCTTTAGTGGGAACCGACGAACTGGATAAAACCATCACCGTTCCAAATAGTCCCAATGTCCTGAGGGATGAAAAATGAACTACGGTACGTAGGAAACGAAACGAAAGGAAAAAAGCTGTAAGCAGTACACAGGCAGTTAGTAACTCACTGATGGACTCTCATTGTGAGTCATATACTGCACTACCAAAATCTGATGGTAAGAGTGAAACCCATCCTGGCGTGACTGAGAAAAAATCAGATAACAGCTAAAACTAATGACTGTTTACTTGATAAGTCCTTGGTGGACTCAGACCAATCCGCCAAAGCTCCAAAGTAAAGCTTCGTCTAACACTGTAGTGAGTCACTCACGGGACTCTGTTACAATAAAAGCTAATCCTAAGATACCAGTAGTTAATATACAGGATCTATCGTCACGGTCGAAAGCTGTTAACGCAGTTTCAAAGGAAGCTAAACCCCTTCCTAGTTTAATTATTTGGAATCTAGAGGAGTCGAAAGATAACGACCCTGCTAGAAGACATGGACATGACCTGCAGTTAGTGGAGTCTGTGGTAAGAAATGTACTACCTGAAGAGGTTACAGGGGTACGTATTACAAAAGTAATACGACTTGGTAAGTGGGTTGCAGGCGAGACCCAACCAAGAAGAATCTTGAAGCTGGTTCTCGGGAGTTTTGAAGAAAGAGACATATTATTGAAAAGCGCACTAAAAACTCGTGCCTCAAATATCCGTATTCGACCAGATTGGCCGCTTGAGGATCGAATCAAGTGGAAGAATGCTCTTACGGAATTGAGGACTAGCAAATGAAATGGCGAAAATAACCTTACCATTAAGGGTTTTCGGGTAGTCAGGTCTTGGAAGCCAATGCTTCCGAGGCCTGTATAGGTGGAACGATTGATTGCCAAAACACCTTAAGCGTGTGCTACACGAACGCCCGTAGTCTTAGAAATAAAATGTCCAAGCTAAGTCTGATGGTGGAAGAATTATGTCCCGATATAATCGTTGTTACAGAAACTTGGTTCACAGTAGATATAGACTGTTCTCTGTTCATTGCAGGCTATATCTGTATTAGAAGTGATAGAGTTTCAAGTCGCAAAGGGGGAGGTATAATATTATACGTTAGGGATCACTTTCGCATACAATCAACAATATCGGAGGCTCATATCAGTGGCACATGTGAGGTTGCATGTTGTAAGAATAAATCTAGAAGTGGTTTAGTGACTATAGGGGGGATACACCGTAGTCCGTTTTCTCTTGCTGACGACTTTATCCTAAGACACATCTGTTCTTGGAGTATGGCAGAATGTTGTCTCATCATTGGGGACTTCAACGCACCGCATATCAACTGGATAGAGCTTACAGCTCCAGGTAGTGGTTTCGATAGCGACCTCTTATCTACCGTTATTCAGTGTGCACTTGTACAATGTATCACGAAACCGACACATATTGATTTCAATCATGGTCCGTCACTGCTGGACCTCGCTTTCACCCACCACTGGGAGGATGTCTTTGATATTCAGCACCTTCCCTCACTAGTGAACAGTGATCACGTAATTCACTTTAAGTTTAGGACACATGTTATACAATTCGTATCTGCTCCACCCCGTCCCAATATCTGGCGAGCCAATATTCTGGTGATCAGAAACTGTGCTATCTCGACTGATTGGTCGGTCGACGCGAATCGATTGATCGAAGATGAATGGAATAAGTTTAAGGCTACATTCGAGTCCGTAACGTCGCCGTATATCCCATGATCAGCACGTAAGCTATCAAATTGCCCTCCATGGATTAATAAGGAAACCCGGAAGCTGTTAAAGCGTAGGAAACATTTCTGGGACTTATTCTTGTTGACAGGTCATGAACCATTTAAGCGTGAGTACCGAAAATTCCGTAATATCTGTAAGAAAACCATAGCCAAATCCCGTAGCACTTACGAACGACAGTTAGTATATGATAGCCGTACTTGTCCGAAACGATTGTTTTCGTATGTTAAACGGCAAATGAAACGTAGTTATGGTATTCCCCCGTTACTGTTACGCGAAAATTCAGAATTACTAGCTGAATCAGATCGAGCAAAAGCCGAGACTTTTTCAGACTGTTTTAGCGAAGTCTTCTCTACGTTTATTGTAAAAAATACTTGTCCCACTCACACCGAGATACCAACCATTGAACCTGTACAGGTGACTGAGGAAACTGTCCTTCCGTTGATAACTAACGTAAAACCTGGTAAGAAGAAGGTTCAAGCAAGAAGGTTCATAAACCAAGATCTAATAAACTTTCTCATCGAGTAGTCAATCATTGGAACGCCTTACCCGAACAAGTGATATCAGCTCCATCAGTGAATACTTTCAAGGAGAAGCTGGACCTTCACTGGAAAGCAGTGTGTCAGGATTAATACAGGTTCATCAACCTACTATCCTTATTACTGAAGACTGAAAACTGTTGGAAACTGCAGTGAAACACTTTATTCCTTCAGTCATTTGAAAAATGAGTACATTTTCATGATAATATACAAAAGAATGAACTCACTCTTGCACTCTAATGATTTTCTTTAATCATCTAGACATTATAAATAGTTAGTTACTATTTAGGTATTCAGTAATATCAATTGTTTGACTATTGTTAACTTGTAGGTCGTATGAAGCGCAATACTCAATGTAGGTTCTGGTTGACTCACTGTGCATGAAGGCATTCATAAAGGTTTGAGAGTTACGTTCCGCTAATTTCTACCACAGAAAAGGGCTCCTGATGCCTCAGATAACGGATCTGAACCTAGTAAGTTCTATTCTGTTATTTGTTGATGGGAATAAAACATGGTTTCTCCCTGTGATAAACGCTTATTTCTAAGTTCTTTGTTTGTTGTCAAGTGAATTAAACCTTTTTATTCAATAAAGCATCCGTAGATAAAGTGAAGAGCTTCTTCTCAAAGTTTGGCAGTGGTTTTCGTACTGCTTTCGCCAAACCACAACATCCTAGTGTGCCAGTTACTAGTCGTGACGTTAACAATTATTGTTATTCTTCTGATGATCTGAAAACAAGAAAAGAAATTGTTTCTACCTCAAGGGAGACGGTTGACGCTCTTCATCCTTTAAGGTATGTTTAAATTTTAACAGGTTCTGAAAGTATGTCGGCTTCGATCTACTTTCTAATTAGTCAAATGTTTGGTTTAGAGGTGGTAGAGTTAATGAAACGTTTCGTAATCACTTCGTAACAGACTGCAGATATCGATTATTTTGTTGTCTGGTTGATCGTTTGATCCATATTTCAGTAACTGGTCTGAGATCTGCTTAGTATCGCGTGGCACATTCACTATTAGTGTTTATATTGTAGCTACTACGGAATAGTTCACCTTTCGCTACCATATTTATGTGAAAAATATATTCGAGTGTAAGCCTATGCTTATGCACTAGTGAGTTTTTATCTTGGTACATATTTGGTGAAGCAAATTCTTGTTATACTCCTTACGGCTGTCGAGGTCAGTTATGTGTATTTAATTACCATTTTGTTCATGTTTCATGTCCATATTCATATGCAAATCTAAGTTTGTATATTGCTGTCCTTTACAAAGTCCTGAAGTTTTTTTTGTAGTTTTTCATTGAAGTCACCACTACTTTTTCTCGAGTTCACTCGAAGTCTACCATACTTTTCAAGCAACCAGTTACATCAGTGACACTGATCTCTTTTGCTTCACTCGCTGATGAGCGTCCCACTTTGTATAACAACACTGCTTCTGAGTCCGTTCATTCCATACGAATGACATCTGAATAAATCCTGACATTTCTGCTGAATAACTTGCAGTTGTTTAGTCATAATACATTAACATGCTCTCATTGTTACAGATATAAATTACATGGCCAGTAAAATATCATAATCACAACAATAACCGGATTCAACCCTGGAACTGTAATATCTGTAGATTTGTTAACGTCTGTGCTAAATTTTACGTGCTGTCCAACCGTTTTAGTCTACCCACTGAGACTCATCATTCAGATAGCTGTTTAAAAAGTTTATAGAATATGTTATTTTCTCTTTAACTTCTATATACCGAACACCTGAGGAGTTTAGCTTGAGTATTTGTTTAACATTCGCCACAATAAGAATGTTGCTGAAATAGGAATAACAAGACATATTAATACCAAGGTCATCGTTCAGCACATACCTCATAGTTATAAAATGTGGCCTGTAAACCTAATCATATTTCCTTTTGTTTATTACAAGCACCACTCAGTAAAGTTTTCAACGCGATTTTTTAATCTATAAAGACATCACAGTGTACGAGGACATCACTGATATCTGACAAACACATATTAATATCTATTCGGGTGCATAGTAGTCTACAGTTAAGATCAATATAGCACAGTGACTATGAAAAAAACATTTAGTTACAAAAATCATTAACTTAAATGATAGTTATATATTTCACTGACTATAACTAATGTATTTTATAGCTCTTTGTACTGACTATTTAGTTTAATAATCTTGGTGAAATAAGATGTAGTTCAATCGAGAGACTTAGAAAGCAGAGCTAATACACCTGTGGTTCTCAGTACATGGCTAGCCACCCGTAGTTGCACTTTGGTCCAATTGTTTATAACTATAGAAACTTCGAATATATTAACACAATGTAACTAAATCTTGCTAACTGATTGTTGTATGCACTCACAAGTTTTTTCCCTCTTAATCTGCATTTTATTATCCTGGTCTGTTTTTAATATAAAAGATTTAATTACCAAAAAGTTTTTAGCACATGGCATTATTTTTATATCCCTTTAGAACTGATCACCCAGTTATACATGGGTTTTTCCCTTCAGTTCATAGAACCTCCTGATATAATACTGGATGGCCTGTAAAATTATATAGTATGTATTCAATCCAAGAGGCGTATTCTTTAGTAGTTAAAGCTTCTAAATTACAATCATTTATTAGACTTTAAATGCCGTTTTCGCCACTTTTGTTCGGAAAGCTAGTGGTTTAAGTTCATGTATACAAACTCATACTTGGTTACTTAGTCACATTAGGTTATCCAGACTATGTATCGATAATTTTTTCTACATGAAGTGTCAGGACATTTCATGTCTTATGGCTTTTTTGAACGGAATTCTTTACTATCCTACCAAGTACTCGTTAACAGTTTTTCTAATTGTTCTTTATGGTCTCCTGTCATTTAAATCTATTGCTACTACTTACTAGCGGGATATATGAGATAGCCTTAAATCTTGTGTTATGGCGTAGTTTCAATTACGTCAACTGAACATTGAATTTCAATATGACCTCTCAGTAAAGCTTCTGGGTAAACGAAAGGGTGTCACTAATTTATTTCTATTGTGATGACATATATTCGCTGATGGTGTGCAACGTAATTAAGTTAACATACATATTTCCAAGTTTTTTTCTAGGCTTTCCTGTTAACTGTAACAGAAATTGTAGATGATGTCGTTTAGTTTCACCATTTTTAGAACGTTTGGTATAGGTTCCACTCAGATCTCACATAATCATTTGGTAGTGATGGCTAATAAGTGTAGCATGTTCTTCGCTTTAAGTACATTGTTTGATCAGAATAAAATTTTTGCCTTCGTTTGCTATAAATGGTTAGCTTTAGGGGACAACCAAGTTTGTGCATTTAGCAATCTTTGATGTAGTTCATTGTTAAAGCACTCTTCTTTCGAGCTTTAGGTTGCGGGTTGGAATCTTGATCTAAGAACGTATTAATTTATTTCGGAATTTGGAAGTATCATCATCCTAAAGCGATAGGCATCCTCATCCTTAATGTTCTCCTGGGGAAATCATCACCATCTATTTCGTGGAGACCTAAATCTTGTCTCCTATAAGTTCTAGTCTCCCTGAGCCAAGGGTTTCCGATTTCTGTCCTCCTGAAATTATTCATATTCATATGGTTACATCATGCAGATAGCCCTAATATCACCTGTTATACGGCCAATTATGAAAGGGTCCCTTTTCAAAAAAATGGGAGCAACTTGAGATACAAGCTGTCATGAAGTAGTTATGCTTTACTTATGTGGTTTTAGCGGTTATCGTGTCGATTGAAAGAAGTAGAGATGTGGTGCCATAAAGAATAGTGCTGCATGAACACCTGTTGGTGAAACCTGAGTACCCGTATGACTTTCTAAGAGCAAAGTAACTTTATAACTTCTGACCTAATTGGATATCGTCAACAATCTAATTCTGTATCGATATCGCACCTATTTTTATCCTTTTCCATTTGGATAATTAAAAATAAGAATACAAAATTCGGGGCATATTTTAATTGACTACTTTTATATTTCCTATTTATTCATCGTTCATTTCTTATTTAGTTAGTTATTTTTGTCAATGTTGTTATATTTTCATACTTAGTACATCTTTTGTATATACTGTACCGAGTTTTCACTGAAATAAATATATTAATAATATTGAAGTGTGATATATGTATAACCCATTTGTATATAATCTGAGATATTTATTAAATAAAATACTGCCTATACCAAGTTGTAATCTATCTGTTCGTCGATGAACCAGTATGCTCACCATTGGTACACGTAATGCGTAAATCCCCTTAGGTAGTATTTTTGTGGTTAGAGGATTTGGCTTTCAGTCATAGAATCGCAAGTTTAAACCCCATTGTGCCTACTGAGGTTTGAACTGACAAGTACCCTTCAAACCTCAAGTATAGCTTAAAGATGAGTACGTCAGCCTATGCTTAGTTAATTAGTTATCTCTTTGTGCCTAATGACGTTATCAGGAATACAAAAATCACAAGTAAATAAGTCGCTTAAGAAAGACAAAGCTGTGAGTACTAAGAAGTTTGGAGTAATACTGTATCAAAAATTCGAAGGAAATAAAGAAAAAATGCATTTACACTACTTAAGTCTTTTTTAAGACTTGATCACGTTAAGTCTCTGTTCGTATATTATAATTACTACATGAACCAAGAAGTTTATACCCTTAACCATGTCTAAGACTGAGATTCAGTAACCTCATGGACTGATGTTATCTTACATCCTTATTGGAAGAAAGAAAAAGGCTTAAAACGTTCTCCTAATCCAACTTATGTTTTTCGAGAAGCTGCATTTTGTCAACGTGATAACTAAAACGGGATATATTATTTGCATTTTTCGTGTTGATAAAAAGTTATCTAGTTAAGTACTATAATCACTAGTAATCTAACGAATAAATATTTACGTCGAGCTTTTTATCCGTTAAGTAAAACGGGGAAACGGACATCTTTAGTGAGTACTGCTTGGCACTATCTTCGAAGTAAAGACCGGTGTCAAGCAAGGTTGCTTACTCTCACCCTTTCTCTTCCCCCTAGTGATCGACTGGATCATCAGATCACAGATGATCTGACCCTTCCATCGCACACGCAACAACAAACGCAGGCGAAGACAATCAGTGTAGCAGCAGTAGGTCTCAACATACACAAAAGGAAAAGCAAGATTCTCCGATACAACACAGCATGCACCAATCGAATCACACTTGATGGGAAGATTTGGAAGATGTAAAAACCTTTACATATTTGGGCAGCATCATTGATGAACAGGGTGGGTCTGATGCAGATGTGAAGGCGCGGATCGGTAAAGCAAGAACAGCATATTTACAACTGAGGAACATCTGGAACTCAAAGCAACTGTCAACCAACACCAAGGTCAGGATTTTTAATACAAATGTCAAGACAGTTCTACTGTATGAGGCGGAAACCTGGAGAACTACGAAAGCCATCATCCAGAAGATACAAGTGTTTATCAACAGCTGTCTACGTAAATTACTTCGGATCCGTTGACCAGACGCTACCAGCAACAATCTACTGTGAGAGAGAACAAACGAGATTCCAGTGGAGGAAGAAATCAGGGCGAGCTGGAAGTGGATATGAAACACAGTGAGGAAAGCATCCAACTGAGACACAAGACAAGCCCTTACATGGAATCCTCAAAGCCAAAGGAGGAGAGGAAGACCAAAGAACACATTACGTCGAGAATTGGAGACAGACATGAAAAGAAAGAACAACAATTTGGATAGAACTAGAAAGGAAGGCCCAGAACAAAGTAGGTTGGAGAATGCTGGTCGGTGGCCTATACTCCATTGGGAGTAACAGGTGTAAGTAAGTAAGTAAGCTTGGCGCTGTCAACACAGACGATCTCAAATAAACTATTCCAGTAAAGACTGCTCTGTTGAGTTGTGTACTTCACTGACGCGCCTTCCAGAAATGGGCATGGCCATAAGCTCTCTCAATCAATAAAGTTCGGTGCCTCATTGAAGTCAAAACATTCATTTGGACGTTAGTAAGCGTGTTTATGTATTACAACCTAATAGAGGATAATAGTTTGATCAATATATCTAAAAGCTGTTAATTATCGAATATTTATCGATGAACTCTTTATGCCTATGGAAATTACCTTTCTCGCTTTGAAAAACAAACAATTGATTCAGATTATTATCATTACAATTATTGTCATTATTAGTACTAATATTATTATTACTACTATTATTGTCATTGTTATTATTATTATTATTGTTATTATTATTATTATTATTATTATTATTATTATTATTATTATTATTATTATTATTATTATTATTATTATTATTTTCCACATTATTCACCCTCTTTTATATTTATACAGCGGCTCGTCTTTGGTGGAAATTCGACTGTATCTAAACGTTCTCGAGTCACTGTCCGGTTGTAAATTGTATGTTACCACCGAATACGAGGACTGAAGCAGATTTTCTGAAACCACGTGCACCATTCAAACTGGCTGCCTTCAACGTTCGCACATTTATGCAGGTCAAACAACAGATAGGGCTGGCTATGTCTTTGAAAAGTCTTAATATTGATGTCTGCTGTCTATCTGAGACCCGTATTCAAGACTCAAGCAAAGTACTACAAATTCGCTCTACATCTGTCACTTCAAAAAGCTTGTTTTACGTGCGCTTATCCGGGGACCCTGTGGCATCTTCGTCTGGTCTTGCAGGCGTTGGTGTCGCACTAAGTGCTAGAGCTGAGGCAGCACTAATCGACTGGATCCTCATTAACAGTCGGTTATATGCTGTTAGATTAGAAAGTTCCATCAAAGTGAGAAGAAATCGGCGTGAGAAACGATGTGTTTTCGTCATCTCCGCCTATGCCCCGACAGATTGCAGCCCGGATGCAATCAAGGATGAGTTTTACCACCAGTTATCTGTTCTTCTCCAGAAAGTGCCTTCGACAGATATTGTAGTACTAGCCGGAGACTTGAGTGCTCAGGTCGGGCGTCTAGGCACAGAAGAGAGTCGTTTAGGTGGTCGATGGGGACTCGTTGGTCGCAGGTCACATAACGGGGACCGTCTACTGCAACTGTGCACAGACCACAACCTGTTTCTGGCTAGCACTAACTTTCGGCACAGTCATCGCCGATGTGCCACCTGGCGTCCTCACTCTGCATCTCAAGCCTGGACTCAGATTGATCACATCGCGATCAGCTACCGCTGGCGTGGTTGTGTACAAGACTGCCGCTCCTTTTGGAGTACCTATCTGGACTCTGACCATGCCTTGGTCTGCGCCAATGTTGCCTTACTTTTCAGTGGACAACGAAGTGAACGCCATCAACGGATTGATGTTAGCAAGCTGGTTGCAACTTCTGTTGCAAGTAAGTATCGAACCGAGCTAGCCTCTAGGCTAGCTACCACTCCACCGAAAAGTATAGATGAGCATTGGTTGCAATTGCATGACGCCATGAAAATGGCGGGTACAGTCAGTTGTGGGTTTGCGAAACGTCCCTCTTTTAAGCACTGGGTTTCTTCTGGTTCCTTACAACTCATTGAAGCCCGTCGGTCTACTCCGGGTGACCGTGAGTTTGACCATAAACGAAGGATGTTACGTAAGGAAATCGGGCAAAGCTTGCGTAAGGACCGAGAAGCCTGGTGGTCGATGCGTGCTAATGAGCTAGAAGCAGCAGCTGCATCTGGTAACTACCGGAAGCTCTTCCAGCTCATCCGAGCCACTGGCAGCAAGAAGTCTTGTGTGAGTGAAACACTCTGCGAGGATGATGGGATGCCAATCACTAACATCCATCGACGTCTTGGACGATGGGCAGAATTTTTCGAAGGGCAGTTCAACTGGCCTGCTGCTCCGGCAACATCGGTCAGACTGTCCTGCCCTCCATGGCCGTTGACGACTGATCCAGCAAATGAGGCGGAAGTCCGCAAGGAACTCCAACTCTTGAAGCGTTACAAATCACCTGGCCCAGATGACTTACCTCCGGCTCTTTTTAAAGATGGTGGTGACTTTTTGACTAAGGAATTGACGACGTTGTTTACAAAGGTTTGGGAACTAGAGAGTGTACCAACGTCATGGAATGAGTCGATAGTTGTCCCTATCTTTAAAAAGGGTTCACGTCGTTCTTGTAACAACTATCGGGGGATAAGTTTACTTCCGATTGCGTCCAAGCTATTGGCTTCCGTCATTCTTCGTAGGTTGTTCAAAACCCGAGAAATATTGACTCGCGAGGAGCAGGCTGGGTTTCGTTCTGGTCGAGGATGTATTGATCATATCTTCACCCTCCGCCAAATGTTAGAACACCGCCATACTTATCAAAGGCCAACAATCGTAGTGTTTCTTGACATCAGGGCTGCCTTCGATTCGTTGGACAGAACTGTTCTCTGGGATTGTCTATTGAATAAGGGTGTGCCTGAGAAGTTTATTAACATCCTAAAAGCCCTGTATAAAAACACCTCAGGCAGAGTGAGGGCATACAACCACCTCTCTCCATTGTTCCATTCGAGCAGTGGGGTTAGGCAGGGTTGCCCAATCTCACCATTCCTCTTCAACTTTGCCATCGATGACATTCTGGAAACAGCTCTGATGAATGTAAGTAATGGTGGTGTGGATCTGTTGCCTGGAGAAAGACTTCTCGACCTTGAGTATGCGGACGATATTGTCTTACTGTGCGATAATGCCCAAGGCATGCAATCCGCACTTAATCAGTTGGCAATCAGTGTCCGTAGGTATGGTATGTGCTTTGCACCTTCGAAGTGCAAAGTACTTCTACAAGACTGGCAGGATTCCAATCCTGTACTCACCCTGGATGGTGAGCAGATAGAAGTAGTCGAGAAGTTCGTGTATCTGGGTAGCTGCATAAGTGCTTGTGGGGGTGTGAGTGATGAGATCAATGCACGAATAGTGAAAGCCAAAGCGGCTTATGCCAATCTGGGCCACCTTTGGCGCCTTCGTGATGTTAGTCTGGCTGTAAAAGGCCGGATCTACAACGCATCGGTGAGAGCAGTTCTGCTCTATGCTTGTGAAACCTGGCCTCTCCGAGTTGAGGACGTTAGACGACTCTCTGTGTTCGATCATTGTTGTCTCCGAAGGATTGCTGACATTCCATGGCAACACCATGTTAGTAATGCAGAGGTTCGGCATCGTGTGTTCGGGCACAGAGATGATAACTCAATTGGTGTCACCATCTTGAAACACCGACTTCGGTGGCTTGGACATGTTTTACGAATGTCGGCCCAGAGAATTCCACGTCGTGCATTATTTGCCGACTCTGGGACTGGTTGGAAGAAGCGGAGAGGTGGTCAGTGTATGACATGGTGTCGTGGCATGAAAGAAAGCTGCAAAGGACTGGCTTGTGTTGGTCCTTCACGACTTCCTGGCTGGGGTCCGAGAGATGGTGCTACACAGTGGCTAGAGACGTTATCAGATATGGCTCAGAATAGAAGCCAGTGGCGATCCTGCTGTAACCTTCTTTTACTTTCTTCATAAAAAGTGGTTGTGTCTCCTTTACCTGAAAGATTTCTTCTGATTGTACCTCTTCGTCATTGCTCTCTTTTTCTTTTGCGTTCCTTAGTTTTTTTTTCTTTCTACTTCTCTTCGAATTCCCATTGTTTTGTGTGGCGCATATATATTGGCGCTCTCTTGTACCAATATTTATGTGTTCAAATAAATAAATAATAAATAAATTTATCGATTTTGGAATCTGATTCCTCTTTATCAAAGGAGGATGTTTTATTTACCGAGATCGGTGATGATAACTTATAAAATGAAATTACGTTGAGCTCTTAAACTTTAATGCCTTATTCGATCAAACTAGTAATCTTGAATCATAACCTCTGAAAACCCTCAATTCAACCTGTCAGGCAGGATCTGTTGGTTTCCATAGTTTCAAATTAGTTATAACATTTCCAACTTTCATTATCTATCACCATGTCGATAATGCCAATCATACAGGTTTGTAATAATCAATAGTTACATAAAATAATTATGTTTAGTTCTAAACATGTTAACTGCTAACTTATTCGTAATCAACTTCACTTTTTTATATTTGATTTGTATGTGTTTATATATTTTAAACAGTAATATGAAGTAAGTCATTTGTAGTTGATTATTCTAATTAAAATTTGCTCTGTTCACTTTCGAATAATTTTGTTTGCCACAAAAATACACGAGTAGAATTAACCATGTTTACTACTATCTAAAAATATGCGAAGTATATATATATGTCTGGTGTGACCACTTATTGATTATTCTATTGTGTGGTTATATAAACGGATTTAAATTATTTTCACTTTTATTCTAACTACTATTATACACTTTCTAATATATATGGTGTCTTTAAAATAATTTTTATTTCGGTGTTTTATTTAAGTGTGTGTATGTGTTATATTCACTTGACAGGAATATAAATTTATATGAAGTTCAATTTTTCAATATCCATTTAAATAAGTTTATGAATTATTTTCTAACAACATAGTCTTAGTAGAAATTTTTCACAGCTCAGTGGTTTTTAGTCATTTACGAACTTCCTTTGTCTTTAAAATAATATACTCAAAGTGATGTGTGTGATAAAAGAAACCCTAAATATACTTATTTATTATTGTTACTGTTTATCGCTAACATCGGATAAGAGTTATGCCAAAATCTACATGGTTAGATTCTGTTACACTCTGAGGTGAATTTATCAGAAATAATCTATTTCATTTCTATATAAACAGAGCACTTCTCTTATTTTCGGCCATCATAGCGCATTTTCTATCCGGTTCTGTAGAATGAAGTTTGTGATGATTCACAGAAATAATGTTTTTTTTAAAAAAATGTTATCTAATTTACGTATACAATCAAGTATTCATATTACTATAATGACTTAAGACGTAGCTCTATTAGTGCAGATCGGAAATTGATGAATCTTTTATAACTAATTGAAATAGAAGGGGAATTTTCCTAACATGCTAAGAAATTCGTATATAACGCTTTATCAATATATATCCAATTTTAAATATTATCATTTAGTTTGAACTTGTGTGTTTTTCTACACCCAAGTTCATTTCTGAAACCTACTTTAATTAAACAATCTTATGCTTTTCTCGGATAATCTAGATCATTTCGAATTATCAGTACATTTAAAATTTACAGATTAATTTTCCTCTAATATTTGTTTTATCTAAATATTACTGTTTACAGAGCTGTTGAAGGGAAACACAGAAATGTGTCCAATGTTTAGAGTTTTCCCCACAGTTAGCTTAGTTAAATAGTGATTTCATTTTCCTTACCACTAAACTTTTATTCTTAATATAGTCATTGAAGTTTTATTTGTTCCAACCAATTCCCATAATTTGAATCAAAGTAGATTCATTGTATGGATACTTTGATATTGATTTCGCTTCTGTATTGTTATTGCCTTTAAATACCAGGCTACAAAACCGACCGGTCGTAAATAAAATAAATTACGTATCATCGATTGTAATTCAAACCTTTTCTAAAAAGTGTTATCGTTTACACGTCTATTCAGTGGTCAGGACTATTGCCTTGGTTTCCAAAATATGGCATATATAACTTTGCCTATATAGGTTACTTTCATTCTGTTATTTACTGCAATTCATGCGCCTGATTGCAACACACATGCTACCATATATATACGGAATTGCTTTTTGAGTGGATATTTTTCATAATTCCCTTTATTGATTCGTCTTTAGTTACTTTATTGTAATGATTATTTTTGTACTATTACAAATCTGTACGTATATTCACCCATCAGGACTTTAGTAACTGTCTGGATTTTAATTTAAAAGTTCATAAAAACCAAAGTATGTATTTAGTGGTTAAACAGATAGATAAGTGATTTATTTTATGGTTAAGTCAACTTTTTGTTAATGTAACCAATTTCTTATTAGAAGAAAATAATAATGTTAAATTTAAGATCTGTGAAATAAGTTGATTAGTTTTTATCAATAACATGTATAATATCCGAGTTATTGCTGTTTATAAATTAATTTTGAAGAGTGTTATACTTGTGGAATCAGTTTTTCAACCTATTCTCTATCAAAGTCGTTAAATAATTATGCTTGTTAAAATTTGATGAGCATGAAAAAAGTGAAATGCATATTGGTGGTATCTACCTGACATAACTTAGTTGACGTTACATTTACTTATTTATCAATTTCCGTCAAATTGTATTTAGAAGTGACATTCTTTTCAATACATTCTGATTTATTGTATGTAAGTTCGTCGTCATTCTATCTTAGGTGAGAATAATTCACTACATAATTATCGGCTTTCGGCTTTTCTATTATATCAACCTAATTTCATGTATCTAGTCAAAATCATTTGCAAAACATTACTCATAAATATACGTAAATCTCAAGTTTAAAATAGGGTATACTCGGCTATTAAAAGATTGAAAGCTAAATGGATGACGCGGTTGCGTTGAGTTTGAATCCCGGAGTAAATGTCAACTGTATAATGGCGGTTCATCCAGCTGCCACGTCCCAAAAGGGGCGAAACAAGCCTCATGGATTCCACTGCTCGTCACCGTCCATCCCTCAGAAGAATGCCTGTGACGTAATGGTAATATGAAGGTAATCTGCACCCAACCTCAAAATTACTTACTTTTATCATCCCATTATTCATAACCAATTTTTCCAAAATCAAATACTCATAACCAACCTATCTATTCATAATATATCTTGTTTTACAACAATTCATAAATGATTCATTCAATCAATTTTGATTTGAACTTAACAGTACCAGGTTTTATTCTCATCAATGTCGTAGATAATGGAATGTTCTACCGTAATAGTTGGCTATATTTTACACAGATGTAAAAAAATTGCCATTTTCACTTCACTAATTCTATTTGTCTATAATTTATTGTACCATGAATAAAGAAATTTGTATTTCTGTAAAATGTGTGTGAAGCTGACTCTTAGCTACCCAGAATAAATTAGTAGACTAATTAATTAACTCAAGTGCTCTAAATCGATAACTATTGAATATTTTGTGGGTGTAGTTATTTATAACCATATATTTAATATAATTTTTATGTAGCAGAAAATATTTCGAACCTAATGCCTGAACATTTTCGTTGACTTTGACTATAGCTTGAGATCCCCGTTAAATTGAATTTTCATGTCTAGCCATTCAACGTTAATAATCCTCTTTTTTTGGGGGGGGGGAGAAAGTGAGCAATTTGAGGATGTTTAAACCCATTACTTAATAGAAATGAGAGAGCTAATTGATAAATAACTAGTCAACTAACTGACAGTATTTTTTACAATTCGGATGACTAACAATACTTACTATTATTCATACTTCTCAATGCGAGTAAAAGAGAATTAACGAGTGTCATTTCTCTTTTGTGAAGAGATGAATAGAAAAAATAGGGAAATGAACATTATTACCGCACAGTTATATAACTAATTGTTGTAAAATTAAACGTAAGACTAAGTTGATTGGTACTTGGTTGCAACAAACCATTGCCAATTACGGTTCTCATTAATAAAGGCAAATGATCAAGGGCCCATATCAGTAAGGTTGACTATCAAAAAGGCTCATATTAGGTAGTTTGTATTCCCTGACAGTTGCAAATATCATTTCGTTGTAAGTGAAAAGAGATTGCTTAGACTTCTCTACTGCAGAACCCCATACTAATTATTAAATAGGTTAACTAGATTCTCAGCTTGACTGTTCCAAATAGATATATGAAATAACATGACTGGGGTTATTAAGAATAACAAATTGTTACTGAACTCAAAAATCTACAGTAGATCCTACATTGAGTGTTTAAAGAACTATGTTTTCGATCGGTCGCAGAGGTAAAGGGACAGATGATAGACCGAACAAATTTTAAACCCATAAAAATGTTGTCCCCTCTTTCGATGCCCACCTTTTCAGTGATCGCCTCTTGATAGTCACTCTTATGAATCCTTACCATTGTTGGTATACGACCTTTTTCATTCACCATTGTGCTCGGGCTTTTATTAATAGATAGCATCAGTTACATCCTTAAATAACCTTAGGACGAAACCGTGAGCGATTGGGTATAGACTAAATGGAATTATAGTAGTTGGATTCATGAGTCGATCTAAGCTAAACCATTGAAAACCTGGAAGCACTAGACGACCGTTTCGTTCTAGTATGGGACTCCTTAGCAGTGCACATCCATGGATCCCACGTGCGGAACTCTAGCTTAGATCGACTCATGAATTCAGCTATTAAAATTACTGCAATCTCCAGAAATCCCCACTCTGATAAATTGAATTAGTCTACCTGTGTTTGTGATATAATAATATAATATATTCTGAATAATGGTTACAGAATGTAAGTCAATTTAAATAGGCGGTCGAGTTAATATGAATTAACAGACAATAATAGTAATAATAATCCTACACACCACAAAAAAACAACTTCCAGACTGCTTCTAAATTAGCGTTTATTACAGTCTTGTTTATAGTGGGAAATGTAAAACTTATTAAGTAAAGAGTTCATACAAATTCTTTGTGGCTAATGTTGTATTTATTGAAGATACATTCCACTGAGGTGAGTCATCCGAAATCAGTCCTGCTATCGATTGGGTGTCATATAGTTTTACGGTAGTTGTATAGTTGATATTCAGATCATAAAGTGTTATGTGATGTATCTCTATTTTAAGGTTTTTCGTTGAAAACAGTTTAATATAAAACAAAAACTGTCATCTCGCATTCCTATGAATAGGTAATTAGATAGGTTTTGATTGCTAAACTTTGGAAAATCACTTAGTTTCTGGATTACAATTACCTAGTGCCCAAAAAGCTAAATAAATAAATTATGACTTCCAATAGGGTAATATAAACGTGTGAATCGTAATCCCTCTCTTCTTACCACACTTATTAGCTACCTGAAGTATTTTCAATACTAACCCAATCAGTCATTCATTAAATTAATCATATTCTAATTAACTTTTTCATCATATTCCATGAAAATGATTTAGATTAGAATTGTTTTTAGTACTTTTATGTTATTTATTTATTGCAATGTTTATATTCTTTCATGTTTTGTAGAGGTGATCGAGTTTCCCCTGCGATTCATATATTGAATGAACCACATGGTTCTAACCCACAATCATCATATGTCCGTGGAAATGCATCCCCTCAAAATTCTGCTTTTCGAGTAGGTTATTTTTCGTCATTTTTTCTTCTATATATTTCTGTTATGTTATCCTTAGAAAATAAGATAGTTTATTTACTACTTAGCTTCAAATTGAATATCTTGAACTGATACCAAATAAATAATCACAAGAACCAGAGAACACTGGACATCAATCCTATACTACTTTGAGACTTCCTGACAGTCGATATCCACGACTATATACAACATCGAAATCTATACCATTGAAGTATTACAGTCAGTCAGTTACAACCTGGGACCAATCACATATATGCACCGGTCCAAGTTACCACACCTCATTAGCACAACAAGATGATCACCAAATTTATAAAAATAGTCACTTCAATGGTAGTAATGTATAAAAGAAAGATCGTGTATAAGGATATAATACACGAAGGAAGAATGAATTCATAGAAAGATAGATATAAAGTAATTTTAATTTCTCGGTTTAAGGGAAGACAAAGAGCGTATACACTGACGCCATTGTGATCGATTCTGAGCCATGTCACACAGAGTCTCCAACCATTGGTTACGACAGTCATGCGTACCCCAAACCAGTAGTCTGCGTCTACCAACATGGCTCAGACCAGAAGTCAGTGACTTCAAGGACCGATGCTACGTTTTGGTTTGGCCAACCCTAACTTTCTTCCAACCGTCACTAAAACTAATCAGCATTGCATGTCGTGCCAATCGGTGTTCAGGCATACGTAACACGTGGCCCAACCACCTCAGTCGGTGAAAATCTACAACCTCATCAACTGATTTTCCATCGTTCCCTAATACCCTGTGTTTAACCTCACTATAACTTACCCGGTGATCCCAGCAGATGCCAGCACTATTTCTAAGACATCCGTGATCAAACACTAGTAACTTACGAGTATCTCTTACTCTTGATGGCTACGATTCGCAGCCGTAAAGTAGAATAGAACAAACTTCTGAGTAGCATACTCGTCCTTTTATCGATGGACAGATATCTTTCCTTCATTTTAGTTGACGTAAGTTGGTAAAAGCTAAACGACCTTAATGAATCCATGCGGAGATTTCGTCAGACACCAACCCATAAGCACTGATCAGCCTTTCATTATAAGCGAATTTTGTCGATGCGTCCGACTACTTCACTCCCTATCCTTAGTTCAGGTGTTGACACAGGCCGGTCCTAAAACAACAACTTGCATTAAGAGGGAAGGGGGGAGAAACGCATCCCAAACATCCTGACATTGTTGCTCAGTGCTATCAAATGACTCTGCATTTTATCAACGTCTTCACCAAACAGGACTATGTTATCTGCGTACTCTAAGTCGATCAGTGGACCTGCTGGAAGGAGATCAATGCCCGATAATTCAGTCGACGAGAACGTTATTTCCATCAGTAGGTCTATGATGAAGTTAAACAAGAATGGAGAAAGTGGCCAGCCTTGACGGACACCACTTGAGGTTGCAAAATTAGATGACAGTTCGCCATAAGCTCTGAATCTACTGGTAGTGTTCGAGTAAAGAGCCTTTACAAGGTTTATGTACTTCTGAGGTACACCTTTCAATGACAGACACTGCTACAGAACCTGTTGGTCTACAGAGTCAAATGCTGCTTTCATGTCAAGAAGAACTGTCATTGTCGGACGCCGATAAGTATGCCTGTGTTTTAAGATCTGACGAATGGTGAATTTGTGATGGATGCAGCCACGACCAGGTCTGAAACCAGCCTGATTTTCTCGTGTTTGCAGTTCACGAGTCGTTGTTAAGCGTCCGATAATTATCGAGGCTAATATTGTAGATGCTATATTAGTCAAACTAACCCCTCTATGGTTATCACAGGGTGGTTTTGACCCCTTCTTATGTATTGGGACAATCAATGATTGTGACCAGTCAAATAGAATTACGTCCAACTCCCAGATTTTAGGTAAAATATTAGTCAACCAAACTGCTAAAACTGAATCACCATACTTAAAGACCTCTTGAGTCAATCCATCTGGACCAGTTGCCCTTCCTCGTTTCAGATTAGCTATAGCTATTTGAACTTCAATTACAGTCGGGGGACCTATTTCAATGTTCTATTCAGACTGTTGAAATGGTGAGTAGCTGTAGAGTAGCTGAAGGCCAGCCGAACTGCTCCACAAAGTGTTTCGCTCATCGTTCTAAACGTCTGGACTGAGAGCAGATAAGAGTGTAGTCTTTTTCCGAGATCGCCTCACTTACACTTGACTTCCTAATCCCAGTATCTTTTATTAGTCTGAAAAGCTTTCTAGTGTTACCTACAGCCACTGCCTTTTCCATTTCTTTTGCTTTGGTTGCTTGCCATTGTTCATGATCCTCTAGCAAACTTCTTGTTAAACTAGATCTGATTTGTTTTCGATTTTTATCGTGTTCGGAGCCAGATGGGATAAGTTTACGAGAGCCTATCAATGCAATAGACTTAGTAGAAATCCACTGGTTTTTCGTAACCCTTTGGTTTAAATCACTAATAGATGTCGCTGCTGTTTCCACAGCTGCTCGTATATCTTTCCAAGCAACATATGGGTCAGCCTCGTTTTCAGAACTACCTAAGTGTGACCTCAGTTGTTCCTGGAATCTACTTTTGACTTTCTCGTCATTGAGTTCAACCCTAATGAGTCTTAGTGTGATTTTTCTGCGCTCATTGAAGTGCAAGCAAATGCGTGCTCGTATTATAACACGATCAGAGTCTAAACATTTACTCCAGAACGAGCGGAAGTCTTCTATCGACCCTCTCCAACGATGACTGATGGCAATATGGTCTATTTGAGTCCATCGTTGGTTTGGTGCAGGGGGTCGCCATTTCAGGCGATGTATCTCCTTATGCCTAAAATTTATGCTTGCTAAAAATAAACAATTGTCTGAGCACAGTTGCAGTGGACGATCACCATTATCTGTTAGCTGAACCGGAATACTAAAATACCCACCCAAATGTCTTTCTCTTTGGTTTGAGCTACCTATCTGGGCATTGAAGTGACCTTCTACGAGTACTATGCCTGTGTGTTTTGCGTTTTGAAGAATTTCAGAAAGCTTTCTGTAAGATTCATCTTTCATTTCATCCAGGCTGCAGTCAGTGGGAGCGTAGGCAAGAACGACGAAAAGGCGCGGCCGTAGTACCCATGGGCAACTACTTAGGGTTGGTCACACACGACCTTTTTGTAATTTCCGTGTTACCTCCGTAATTGTTGAGACCCTACCTCCGGAGACGGATATCCGTGGGATAAGGCGAGGTGTGCATTTTTAGGGTCGACCTTTTCTAACCCCACCCCACCTTGTGGGAAGGCAGCATCGCTGTTATGCTGGTTGTCTGAAGGAAACACCTTACTGCCGTCACACCTTTTTACAGTCAACAGTACGACTTCGCTCTCGGGCCTTGGGTTCGCTGCTTTTAGTCTTACCGCTCTTCAACCGACCTGTCTGGCATAGTAGGACCTTGAGAAACGATTGTTCCAACCAGTATTGCCCGATTGGCTTATTAGGATAGACCAGCCCGACCACCACGTTAAGGTAGCAGCAACGGTTGGGTGTTCGTAGATGCTCCTAACATCGTATTCCGTTAACACAACTGTATGAGATTCATTAATATCAGTCTAGTATTATCTAGTTATGTAGTAATAGATCAAAGAGATCGGTTTACTGTATTCTGTGAACAAATACTCAACTATTTATACCTAATAACCCTCCTTAACTAACGATTTGCAATCCACGCGATGACCGCAATCATTGGTTGAAAACTTAAGATGACATGGGTTGGATATATTCATTCTTTATCTTCCCATAGATTTTGAGTTTCAACATTCTCTCTTATACATATATTTTCACTTTCTCTTTATTACCATATTCCTAATTTTCAATCTTTCTTACAATAATTTCTACAACATTTTGCGATTCCTTTGTTATTAATCTTGTTAATTTTTTGTCGTTGTGCTATTGTGGTGTGGAAATTTGAGCCAAACTATTTTTCTTACTCTCTGCATTGATTATTAACGAATGACTAGAGCTAACAATCCATTTTGTTAGGAATCGAAGTAAGGTGGTAAGATCTTTAGGATTTATAGTCCGTTGTCTAATGGTGTTAAGATGTTATCTAATGAAAGATAATTATTGCGACATTCAGCATCCCTACTTCATTATCTTGCTTTAACAGGGATTAATTATTTGGGGACTACTGTTCATAAGTTTTTTACATCCTTTGAACCATCGACGCATAAATTACTTTTACGATTTTTGTCAGAAGGGGTTTGTGGAGATTTTAGAGATTTCACAGATTGAAATCATGAGTCAATTGAAGCTAGACCACCATGGAAAACCTGGAAGCACTGGACGGCCGTTTCGTCCTAGTATGGGACTTCTCAGCAGTGCGCATCCACGATCCCGCCCCCGCGAGATTCGAACCCAGGACCTATCAGTCTCGCGCTAGGCGCTCAACCAACTAAACCACTGAGCCGGTATTCAATAGTGTTAATGTCTAACTTCAACCGATTTTAACAAAAGATTGTGTTCTGTATTTAATCAAATTAGTACGTTTCCATTCAGTGCTTGTAAGGCATAGATTCTATAACCTGATTTTATTCGACTAGTCTTTGTAATAAATTATTCACCTGACATTAAAACATTTTAATATTTTTCTATTGATTAGGAAGAATTGAACTCAAAACTACGAATTCGCCCTGGTCATAATCTTCCACCTAGAATAACAACAATTGTTAAGTCTGCTGAAAGTTCCGATAGTTTAATTTCAAATGAATCCTCTTCACCACATCAAAAACATTTAAGTAGTCCATATTCACCTCCCCATAGTACTCATGTATTTGCAACAACCCCACCTAATAGTACACATGAGTCTATCAGTTCAACTCCATCATCCGCTGGTGCCTCAGATTTAGTCAGTTTACAGCATAAATTAGCTGTCAGTAGACCTAGAAATCGTCGTCCACCATCAAAAACTTATCGTCGTACATTGAATAAAACGGATGAAAATGTTCTTGGCTTCTTTTCTTTATCACCCAAGCATGTATCGACTAATGATAATTTCTTTTCAGTTTCTAATCCTCAACTGGGTCTTATAAAAGAAGAAAGTGAAATAATACATCAAATAAGTGGAAAACCACCTCATCAAAAAATATCTAACATTCATCTACCCACTAAAATATTAACTGTAAATACTGGTGAATCGATTAGTGAGAATTCTGATTCAAGTAAACTTGATTCTTCACTTTCAGGACTAAATTTAAGAGGCAGGTTAGTATATGGATTTTTTTTCAATGCTATACATTGTTTATATTAAAGTACACTTAGTTTTCACAAACAATTTGCACTTTGATGTATTGTAGAGTAATGACACCTAATTCATTAAGACACTTGTCTTTCAATTAGTAGGTTGCAATTTTCGAACTTTGCTCCATCTTACATTTGTATGGATAACGGAAGGGTATCACTAACGTGTAGGAAAGTAGCATGGCTTAAAACTACGTAATTTTTGTTTGCTTAACGGAATTATTTTTACATTACATTTACTTTTTTCTGTGAAAAAAAAACAATTAATAACATTTCTGTTGTGTTGTGTAATATTTGGTTTTGATACAGATACTCAATCTTCCTATACATAAGTCAACCTGGCTAGTCAGGTGAGAAGACTTAGAAGGGAGTTTATTGACTAAACCGAGTCGGTGACATATGTACCTCATATATATGTCCCTTAAAAAGTTAAGCCACTAATGGTGTATGTCTCATACCCTAGAAATGCAATCCATTTCTTGGCCAATCATTTACCCGATCTCTGACTAACCCAGTATATTAATTTTCCCTCCTAAGAGAATATAGATGTGATATCTCAGATTCAGCTGTTGGAATCGGGGTGGGGACACATCAGTTTCGTTTATCGTATTATATTTGTGACTGTTTAAGTTGTTCACTAATTTAACCTTATGTTGTTATTGCTCTTGGCCCAAAATGTACAAGGGGTATATATGTATTGATTTTTAGATGGTTAACTCAGTTATATTTTGTTGAAGAGTGCATATCACTTTCCATTGTTCAATGAACTCATCGTAGTTGAACTACAAAGTCTTATGACTAATTATGATGCATTTCGGTGGTAGTGTTTGAATTCATTTTCACGAAAATATTTTTATAACTTTATTACGTAAATGTAGGTCTCTGAAAGTTATCCCTGTAAAAGGCGAAACTTTAACAATCACAGTTACAATAGCATACTTCACCATTAAACAACTTTGTATATAATAGCTCCAATAATATTCCATAGCTTATTTACTAAGTACATATTTATGCAATGTTTATAAAATAGTAATGATTTGCTTAGTAAAGTGAGATTGTTTATTAACTAAAACTTTTCTAAAGACTATATGATGTGTAATAAATATTCTGTGTATTAGATGCAAATTCGAAGATTGTTGTTATGTTACGAAAGCATTAATAGGATCCATATCTGCGAAAGTACTTCAGAGAGTTTGATCACAACCCGACATATGCGATGGACAATTATGAATTTATCAATGGTGTTTTAGAAATGACCTCACTTTTATTATAGATGTTTGTTTGTGATGTAGAGTGTATATACCACACGCAACTTCACAATATGGAATAATTCATGAAATTAACTTCCTTGTAATTCATTCGAACTGGAAAATAATCTCAAGTACTGTTACAGGTATTTAGTCAGTTGCAACTTCTCCATTGACTACGCCCTGGGAGGATACGTCTTCTTGAGGTACATAAAAAAATGGGTTATTAGTGGTATTTTTTGACCTTGTAGAGTAACCCCAGTCCCTAAGGAAACACATGGGCTTCTTGTGAGCAGTTTTTAATGTGTTATCTCTGTGTTTTTGAGGTACTACTTCTGACGATAGAAATCCGTAGGGTATAGTGACGTGTAATAATTTTAGGGTTGACCTTTCCTAATCCCCCTCCCTTCCGTTGTGAGACGTTGGCATCGTTGAAAATACCGGCTTTCTGAATAAACTACATTACTGCCGTCATATCCTGTTGCAATTAACGGTTTGACTTCGTCCTCTGGCGTTAATTTCCTGCTTTTAGTCTTACCATTCTCCAAATGAGCTACTTGGTATGGTAATTTTTAAAAGAACGAGTGTTCCACCCAATATAGCTCAATGAAATCATCACCATATGCAAGTCCGATCACCACATCAACGTACCAGCTACGATCGTGACTTAAAATATTTGGGATTCATTTTCTAATGCCTATTAATCAATCTACTGATTTTGGGAGTTTCACCAGTCAAAATAATTTTATTTAAAATCATTCGACTGTTTAAGTTGAATAAAATCAAGAGTTTAAACCTAATCAAACTATGAGTCTGTTTCGTGTATTTGTTACTTTTATTTGTATAAAACAAATATGCTAATGCTCATTTTACTTGGTTTTAAACTATTGATTTTATTCTGTAGTGTATTTTGTAATAAATCCACACTGAGCAACTTCGAATGCTCTGTCAATAGTAAACATAAGATTATACAGAAACACATAATTACTGACTAACTTTTATAGACGTAAGTATCAAATACAATGTCGTCCTCTGTATCAAATTACAACAACAAAAAGTCGACTCAACTTATCTGTTGAATAGTTAGTTATTTATTCATAATTTTACTATGTCAACTAGATACTCACATTCTTTATGTGTCCACGAATTTTCTCTCTCTTGCTGTACGTAAATAAAGACATAAATACTAATTTATTGAAATGTATTTTACAGTTGAATAAAGTGTTTAATATTGATGTATAGCTGATTATTATGGTATTTCATAGTCTAACTTCCTGTAGGCTGACTTGCCAGCCATATATATAGCGTTCACAACTGTTCAACAATGAATAAAGGGCATTTTTGATTTGAAAGTATTTAGTATAATTTATTTGAAGGAGAAAAGTGAAAACGCAAAACCCACGTAAAACATTAATAGGCTTTTAATGGGAAACCTAAGAGTTGACAGTAAAAAAGTCACTTTTTGACTGTGATTTTGCTAAGACATGGGAAACACAGAAACTGACACAATTTGCCACAGCATAGAGAGATTCCATAGTATTAAAATATAGTAATAATATTAGTGATAGTAGTGAAGATTAGGTATTGACGATGTAATTCGAGAAATGTGGATTAGTGAGATAGAAAATTTTTATAAGATAATTTAAAAACTTAAAAACTAAGGAAAAACAAGTAGCGAATGCATCTACGCCATTCCCAGTAAATTTTAGCCATATCACCTTATGTTTCGAACGATTGTTGAAGATAGTTACGCGGACCCCAACCAGGTAGTGTACATCATCTTCACTTACACGGCTCATTTCAACAGTCAATGACTTTATAGACTAATGCATGTCTTGGTTTTGTCTCCTTTAATTTTCTTCTAACCTATTCATAAACTAACTATCATCATACATCCAGTTAGTCAGCAATCAGCTACCAAAATAAAAGTATTTTCACTTTTTATATCACTATTCTCTAAATATTCTTTTTGTAGCCTAATTACTATAATACAATTTTGTTTTCTCTCTTTTCATCCAATCGGAAAAAGTACAACAATTTAGATTAGTACAGTTTACACGAAATTCTATATTATCTTATCTGTTTTTATTATAGTATTTGTTGTTAGTTAATTATTAACCATGCTATTAATTAAAGTATACGTCCTTTATAGTCTTTTTTATCAAAAAATATTTTTCAATTTCATGTACTTTAATGATTTACTTCCTATCTCTATACATTAAATAATGAAGTTAAGCTTAAAGATTGTAAATTATTTTACCCACTAGCAATTGTAAGGTGTATATTCACACTATGACTAAATAGTTAAATTCTTTTTGTAAAATATTATGCCATTTCATAGTAGAACTGTTTAGCACTATTACCTAATTTCATATCAGAAAGTGTTGCTTTAAAAAAGCATATTAGTCTATACAATCTCACAGTTCTGAGTTCAATGCAGAGTTTATCGTAGTTTAAATTCTTGCAATAGAAATGATGAAACTGCTCAATATCTAAAGATTTACAGTGTCCGTTTATCTGGTTTGAATGGTAAATGGAATCTGCGACAAATTAATTAACTTTTTTTAAAGAATTAAACATAGATTTTTATGATAATGTATTCGTAATAATTACAGTATTTCGAGAAATTTGATGGTTGAGTTTGGATTGTCTCTTGTACGATATCTCATCGTTCTTGTAGACTATACAGTCAAATAGAAGTCTTTTTTTGCTCTTTCAACTTAATCATCAACTAGTAAATGTCAGTTGATCAAGTAGTTTTAATTTTGGGAAGCTGCACTGACTGCAATATCTGGTGTAATACTAACTCGACGTTTGTTACTGCTATAGTGGTCTATCTCGGACAGATCATCTACTTTCTCAAGGACACGTAGTATGTTGGAAATCCATATATGGGCTGGCTTACTGTGAGCGAATGAAAAACTGATCTGCCCCAAAACCACTGCCTATATATCCCTGTCTCGATCAGTTCACTTTTATATATATTTACACAAGGCTTGTGTACATATTCATTCAGCTTTAGCATTAGAGCTTTCAACACATTTTTAGTCTAATTAGACGAACATTAGCAAGCGTTTACTTTTAACTGAACCAGTGTGCTATTTCATCTTTTTATGATACATACCATTTCAAATAAGAAAGATTAGTTCAGCGAAGAGTTCTCTTTTCTGCAAATTCATTTTCAAAGCTGTACAATCGCAAATATATATACTTATTTTTACAGGATGATAATAAACTTCTGTTAGACATGGTGACAGTGAGGTTAAATAAACAAAGGTATTAAAAACTTTTTTTGTTTCCGAAAGCAAGGAAAGATTAATAATCGTTTGATTGTTAATGGCTTGAGTATTCATCAAAAAATAGATAGGGAAAATTATCAATCGGAAAGGATGGCTCAACATGATAAGATAAAATGTTGAAATTGAGATTAGATGTAATCAGAATGATCGTAGAAACAAAATAAACCAGTTAGGGGTAGAGGATTTAAGGGGAAGATGGAAGGTGAAGCAGATAGTTGTAAAGGAAGAAGAGTATGAGAAAGAGAAAATAAATTATAAGACATTAAGACCATGGTAGAAAAAGAGGTTGCACCAGTCTCTTATGCACACACAGTTCTGGTGTTTCCAGACGTATGGCTAATGCTTCGGCAAAGAAGATGCAGTCTAATTGTCTTTGGAAGACTTCTACTTACCTTGTAGATGACTTTGAATACAGAGTCTGTCTTGATTAAGTGACCTGCGTTCACAAGGTGTTCGATTATTAAACTTATTAAGCCGTTGCCTCCTCTTTTTAGCCACACCGGACAACATACCATTTTGTATCGTTTTTATCTAAAGTTTATTCTCTTGCTTTATTTCTTAATAATTTCAGCGTAAAATCTGCGTATGACTCGAATTCTCTGAAACGTAAATCTGATTCCTATCGTAAATCTGACTGTTTACTCACGTCATTTGTTCAAGAAACAATAACACCTTTCAAACCCCCAAAGAAAAGTGCAGGATTTGAGAGAATAAAAATAAATTCTACCAGTGATTTCCATAATTTAACACCGCTGGCATCATACAATGGCGGTGATCAACATATTCGTCCACGTTCCATGTTCATTCCATCATCCGGTAATGAAATTCAATCATCACAGATTTGTTTAAAAACAAAAGATGTAAATAAAAACTTAACCGACCATCATGAGAACAATCTGATTAGTTCAAAACAATCTTCTGAATCAATTCCATCAATTGTTTTTATCCCATGTAAAGCGTCTGTGGATAATAAAAGTAATGATACTACTAATACCAGTAATAATGATAATGATATTAGTCTCAAAGTTAGTAATCAAACTACTCATATTAATACTGAGACAAAAACACATATCTCTGTATCTATGGTGAAGAAACCTGTTCTGATTGGTGTTGAAGAAAATTCAAATAAATATCCTCCAAGTCCTAGTCCTCAAACAGTGGCCTTACGTCAAAAATGTGGTGAAACTTCTCGTGTATGTTAACATATTTTTAAGATTGCCATTTATTATTAATGAAAATACTTCCTTTAAATTGTAGTCAATATGTGTAATAAATGTATATATTCAGTTTGGGAACATTATTGTTTCATTTCGATAATGATATTAGAAGACGAAGATTATCAGAACTATGTGATATATTAGCGCAATACATTTCGAACAATCTGGTCACACATATACTTGTTAAGAGCATTTATATATAAAAATAAAAGGTCAACTAGACAGGAAACGGGGTAAGAGGAGATAAGGATAATGATAAGAGTAATAATAATAATAATGTGAACACAATTTGAAACTTAATCACTCTGGATAATAAGTCAATATTACCCGTTTCCTGTCTAGTTGACCTTTTATTTTTATATATAAATGCTCTTAACAAGTATATGTGTGACCAGATTGTTCGAAATGTATTGCGCTAATATATCACATAGTTCTGATAATCTTCGTCTTCTAATATCATTATCGAAATTTATCAAAGGGACTTATTGTTTTAAATTATTGTTTCAGTTTAAGTTTTCTTTTAAAATGATTCAGTAACCGTAATCAGTCGAGTTCACCTATGTCATATGTGGGACAGTTACCCATCAATGACACATGGTTGTGCAATTTCACAAAGTGATTGAAGTTAAATCATTAAATGTGTTGACTCAGTAGTCTAAAAGGTTAAGCTCTTACTGCGATACCTAAAGGTCCTTTGTTCAATCTCTTTAGTGAAGTTACGGATTCGCAATACTAAGGAGTCCCATACTAGGACGGAACAGTTGTCTAGTATTTTCTTGTTTTCAATGATTGTCTAACTAAAACCAATCCGTGATGCGAATGATACAATTCAACAATCTCCAAAAAGTCGTTCTATGTGGTAATAATATTTCAGTAACGTTGTATTATTTTTAGCCAAATTAAAATTGTAAAATGGTGTTCATCCATTCATTGTACAGAATGTTGATCAATAAAAAATCGAAAAAGTTTAACTTTTAAAATGATCTTCACAACTCCGTCTCCATAGTAATCATATCGTCTTATTCGACTAAATAGTGATTACATGAAATTCAGTCGAATAGTGTTCATCTCAACAAATAAATCGCATTATCCTGTTGAATTAAATGCAATAAATAAAGGCTTGTTCATCAGTTAATGTTGTAATTATAAACTAAAAAATTTATTTCATTGAATTATACTCTCAGGCTTACAATCATCAGTACTTATTGGGCTGTCGATTGTCTGTAGACTATCGGATGAATCATGTTGATTAGTTCAACTGTACCCTCTTGAGTTATCTTATTGTTAAGATGTATCTTAATTTTAAATCAATTAAATCACTAGAATAGTCTGTTAATCACATGAAAATACCTCAGATGGTTTAATAGCAGATGACATTAAATACCATGAAATTTTTTATTTATTAGTTTCTATATTAGTTTACGTTAATTGTTTGATGGATAAAATTTTTATCAGGACTATGGTACAAAAATTGGTGAAATACTCAATAAATAATTCATGTAAACTGTGGATCCTTTCTAGTATCAATAAACAGAGAGGTATTATACGAATTTAAAGAAAAATTATATTGACAATTATATAACTTTTATTCATTGGTAGTAAAAAAGAAAATAATTGCAAGTCAATCAATGTATTTTCATCAACTGGATATTTTGTTTCAATCTCTTAATTCTACTGACTAGGATAAATATATATCAGTAGTTGAAGTAAATATATTTATGTTGATTGTGGAATCTATCAGCGATGAGAATGAATAAAATACCGCTTAACTATTGAAACCAAATATATGTAGTCATTTTTAATATTCTCTGATAAACAGCTTTACATAGATTAACTTGTCTTAATCCGAAACCTTCATGGTTCAGAGATCTAAAATTATCATGCTGTGTACAAGATATGTATATCCGAGATTCAATATCATGTTAATGCATGCTGCTAAAGTGTCAAATGAGAACAAAAACTGTCCAACTTTTTCTAGTTCTCAACGATTCTCTATCTGATATTAGCCCTCAAGATATCTAAGTATCATCTCTACAAACTCCTTAATCCAATTATATTTTAATCCCTAATATTGATGCATTTTTAAATATTGCGGTTTTGAAGATCAATGTAATCTATCTGTGGTAAAATACACGATTACAGCAGTTATATACATATATGTACTTTTTACTTCGTAGGAAATAATATACATTTTTCTTCGTTTGAATGCTTTTATATAAAAACAAGTATTGAAATTACTGCTTTGATACACATCAATATAATATCTATATTTTTTTGTCTATCCATCTTTAAATCAACAAATACGTTATAATTTACATTACGATATAAATATAGCTTGTTACTCTTAAGGATGAATAAAAGTGAGTTTATTTTAATGATTAGAATTACTATCAAATAGTTTCTAAAAAAAAACCGAATTCTTGGTGTGTTTTTCTTCTTCTATGCTACATCCACTTTTATTATATGAATGACTAAATGAATGTATATGCATGGTTAATTTTATTTCTTTCCTCATTGTCTTTCAATTTATAATTAGTATATACAATATTAATTGTAAAGTGTTACCTTTTTTCATTTTATCATAAGATTAATCCATTATTATTATATCAAATAAATTTCTCATAGTTTAGGCATAGTTACTGATTTATAAATTTTCTTAATGTATTCAATTGATAAAGTATTTGGATTTTAGTAGATAATATCCAACTAAAAAAGAAAAAAAACTAACATTATTAATTATTCAGTTACTTATTAGATTAATAACAGAACTTTAATTTAATTGTCCTGAAAGTAGAAAGTTAAAAGACTTCAACAATCATGACAAATTATTTGATTAAGCCCTCATTAATTTGTTAAAATGTTATTATATATATATATATATATATATATATATATATATATATATATAGAGAGAGAGAGAGAGAGAGAGAGAGAGGAGAGAGAGTTTAATTTCAAACCCACTGTTATTGTGTAGGTGGGTAAATAGAAAGAATTTTTATTATTTACAACTAATAGTAATAGTTGATAAGAGATGACATCAACAACATTATGTAATCACAAGGTCATTATTGTTTAATGTTTTTTTTCTAATGATTAAGTGATCTTATCTGAATTGACTACCGAGCAATTTATCATGATTGATGTACAGATTTCAATCTAATGTTTCAATTAGTCGTTTTAATAATGGTAAATAAATTCATTAAATGAAAGGAGTTTATACTTACGTACGAAACATTACCTTATCCTCAAATGAGCAATAAGACTAATTTATTCCAGTACCCACCATTGCTAATACTGTGTAAATGTGATAAAACCTATGTTTTACTGTTCCTTTCCTAAGTGTTTACATTTTGATATCATCTTCAGTGGGAAATTATTTAATGTTTGACATTTTTCTTGTGAATTTATCAGTTATTGATCTCTTTGACTTATTGCTCATATACGATTGACTAACTGGATGACTAATACTAAGGTTTTAAGCAAAAATTGTAAGTTGATTGTAACCATTCGTTCTCGTAAGTGGCTGGTATAAATGTTACAGATGCCCGCCTATCTATTACCCTAACATGCAACATTGTCTAGTATAGCCGTAAGCTTGAAAAGCGTTTGGTTCGCTCAAATCGAGACATGATTATCTGTTCATAAAATCATTGAATGAGCCGTATCGGAAATTGTACATACTTTCTGGTTGGATTATACTTGATAACCTTGACTTAAGATTAAACAAAAAAGTGGCATAACTCGAAATTTTGCACAGTGGTACAGATATATTTTTCCTCTAGCTTCGCTAAATTGTGACCACGTTTTTGGCTTCTAGCTTTTCAGTATTATTAATTTGACTCATTTGACTTTCACCTTATTGATTTTCCTTACGCTTTTCTGATGCAAAGTGATGCAATATGATCTGATTGACATTCATTTCAGCCCCCATGTTGTTTGTAACTGTTTATTTATTTGAATACAGACATTGGTATAAGGAGGCATCAAATACATATACACCACACAAACCATCCGATTTGCGTGAGGGCTGGAATACGGCTTGGGTGCCCAAATCGAAGCAGGTGGTTAATTTCTTTAATTTAGTCATAAGATATACGAAGAAATTATTATATATTTAATTATAGAAAAATACAATTAACATACTATTTGTTCAAATCTAATAAAAAGATGTAACAAAGTGATTTATTCACAATGCTGTACACAAAACTAGTTTCTTTTTCCCCAACTAAATTAGAAACCAAAAATCGTTACCCTTAAGATTTACTCTGGTATTCACTTAGTGTAGGGAGCAATTTCCTACAGGTTTAATTCTGAGCTATTCTCTAGACCGTCGAATACAGAGTCTTGGTTTGGCCAAAGTCAGAACAAGCAAGCTATTTGGCTAGATAAATTTATCTGTTTCTAAAACATAAATTAACATCGTTAGTGTACAAACAAACTGTACGGTCCATTAATATAGGGAAAAAACAGACAAATAACATATCGAACAGTAGCCAGAGAATAGGAAAAAATGAGTCAACAAGCAAATATTGTTTTACAATGAACATCAAACTGTGATTGGTTAATAAAAATACAGTAGTACAAGGTCAAAGGGAGTTAATGTGGTGGTGGGCGTTTCCTTTTATTATTGGTGAGTTCGTCTATCGATCACATCTTAAACTTGGTTTTTATTGTGTCACTTGTGTAACAAAATACAACGTTCCATCGATGTATATATATAATACACGTAGTGGATAAATAGTTCGTATATTGTAAGTAGAGATGGACGGTGGTCAGCAACGGAGTCCAGGATACGCGTTTCGTTCCATTAGTGGTTCGTCAGCTGAATGAACCTCTGTTCCATAGTTGATGTTCACTCCGGGATTCAAACCCAGTTCCGTTCGTTTGAAACTTCGTTGCGTTCTCTACATAGCTAGGATGAAACGCGCTTCCTTGATTATACTGCTAGTCACCATCTATCCCTGCTTATAATGCTTGTGACTTAATGGTAATGCAAAGGCAATCCGCACAGAGTGCACATATACCAATAAGAGACTGATTAATTGCAGCCCTAAACATCAATGCAAAGATTCAAACCACCAATGTAAATGAAGTTGCATATTATGTTTACAATAACCGAAAACAGTTGGAAAATGAGATAATACACATCCTTGTCGTTGTCTCTGTTGTTGGTATGGTCTACTCTGCTTATGTCTGACTGACTAAGTACCCAATTCATAAAGAGAATATATATAATTATCCTTAATAGAGATAATTATGAGTATAGCATAACAAGAAGGAGTTATGCATCTTAATACCCTGAATCATGGAAACATATTTACTGACCAATCTTTACAACAGTATTTCATATTGAGTTTTAATGGATAAGAAATTAGTTTTTTTTTAAAAAAAAACAGGATTTCTCTATATTTGTAACTTATTTCAAAAGAAATATACGTCCCATTTTTTGCAAAAAGAAGAATTACTAAACTCTTCTCATTGACTCAACATGTCTTTTTTCATTCATTATACGTAAACTTTAATCCACGTGTATGGTGGTGGTCTATTGTGTAATCAGCTGTATCACATGATGTATGTCAATATATGTACAAATTGTGTACTACACATATACACACATGCACAAAATATATATAATTTCGTATTACAGGTATGTGGTAATGTTAATTAAGAGATGTAGGTTACATAGATTTGTAAAAATGATCAAATTCCAATTTACCAATTAGCATAATGATGCAGTTAACTAGAACTACTTGGTTATTTGGAATTTGTGAATTAACATGCACACGTATAAGTGAGCTATCTTATTACAATACTTGTAATTTGATAGTAATTTTATCATAAAAAATAAATGCAAACATACGTAAAATTTCTAGAAAAACCTTGAAAGTACTCCGCAGTTTTGGTATAGTTAGTCTAAGTTTATTAAATTATAAGATGAATCATATAAATGAAACAGAGTTAAAGTGAGCTTTTTTGTTATTGAATGTCAATCTTTTCTTTTGTAAATGAGTAGAGTATTGATGAGAAAAACGCCTATAGCTCTTCTAGGGCTACTGCCGGTTCCAAGTCGAGGTAAAGTTGAAGTGTTTAGCGTAAGATCGGCAACCCCATCCTGTAGAAAACGACCTTGCTAAAAAAACACTAACCACAATAAACAAACTAAACCATTTAAACTCTGCCCTCCGAGTTTAAGGAAGAATTATGACGCCTCATTATGAAAGCCAAGATTCTTCGGAAGTCACGAGGATTTTGCCTCTTCTAGCAACCAGAGCAACAATTTTTATAGGTACATTGAATGTTCGGACAATGCGGCAGACCGGGAGGACCAGTCAAATAGCTACGGAAATGAGGAGATACAACTTGGCAGGGCTCGGGATCAGCTAGATCCATTGGACCCAAGCTGGATCGCAAAGGTTAGAGACGGGAGAGATGTTGCTGATGTTGACGATCAAATCCTTCTCTCACTTCTTAATAACTCTTCTATCCCCACGATTAACCTTTCTCGTATATCTTTGTCACCACACGCCACAGCTGCTAATTTAATTCTACGAAATGTTATTCTTAGTCTTCTGAAACCACGCTGTAAACTAAATGTTGGAGCTTTCAATGTTCAAACCTTGTCAGATAGGACAAGCCTTTTAGCTAAGATTCTAGAATTTCGTGCCATCGATATATGTTGCGTCTCCGAAACGCTCATGTACGATACAGGTATGGTCGTTCATTTGACCTCGTCAATATAAAGAACCGGCATAGGTTATCCTTCGAGTATATGTAGCTCCCACCACTACTCCCCGTGGCATTGCTGGCGTATCTGTAGCGTTAAATTCAAAAACAGAACAGGATCTGTTAGACCAAACTCTAATGGACAGTCGCTTGTGCTCTGTTTGACTAAACGAGACAGTAAGAACTTGGGAAAATAGGGAAAAATCCCATTTCCCTTTCGTTGTCTCTCCCTACACTCCGATTGATTGAAACTCGTACAAAGTTAAAGACGGATTTTTGGGGAAGCTATCCAACCTTCATAAAGCTAAACATTGGTGTAGTAATAGTAGCAGGTGATTTTAATGCTCATGTAGGTAGAATAAACCAAATCGAAAGACGCTTCGGCAGATCTTACAGTGTTAGGACTCAGCGAACAGATAATAGCGGGTGTCTATTGCAACAGTGCTCAGATAACCGTCTATTTCTAGCAAATACTAACTTTAAACATAATGAGAAACATTGTCAGACGTGGCGATTCCGACAACCGACCCATCGATGAATTCAAATAGAACACATTGCCATCAACCATCGTTGAATTGTTTCTATAGAAGACTCACTCATTCTGAAGCACATGTTGATAAGGTAGTAAATCTTCAACTGAGGTAGTTAGTACGTGTGTTACGTATGCGCAACCACCGGTTACCTCGACGGGTGATGTTTGATGTAGAAGCAGGCTAGAAGAAAGGTAAAGGCGTCCGAATCAAAATATGTCATCAGTCCATGAAGTCAATGGCAGCCCTGTTAATAGGTGTAGACTACCTGGTTGGGATCCGCATGATCATCGTAATCAATAGTTAGAGACTTTGAATGATATGGCTCAAAGTTATTTGCAATCGCGTAGGTGCATCCGTTCTTTGTCACCTCCCAAATCCTGAGATTCTAAATTCCTCACAGTATTTTTAATCTCACTAATTTATATTTTCTTGAGTTGTCTCTTCGATCCCTAATCTTTTCTGTTAACACTGATACTGTTATTACCTTTACCATTCTGGGATCTGGCCTGACGATTTAATCTATATGTGGTAATAGGATATGGCAGCTTGAATCGATGTACATACGTACTAGGTTCTACGTTGCGACTGGCTGACTAATTGGTTTATGTACGAAATGAAATTATAACACCTTATGATAATTAACTTAGCATACATTCATTACATTGTGTTTGTTATTTTTGCAGTTTAACTTCATTTCATCTTGAAGTAAATTATCTTTTGGTTTGCGCAACACACGGATTCTAAACTATTGAAGTATAGACTGAAGTTACCTCATTTATTTCTTAATACTCGAGAAATATTCCATGTTGCGAGTTCACTAGCCTACTTCTCTCGGTTGATAATTACTCTAAAAGTTAAACATATTTGTGTTCTTGTTTTCGTAAACTTTTAATATATGGAAATAAGATTTTAACTTTAACTTCTACGTCAGTTACTGACCCTTATTGTAACCACTGACTAATCACTCATTGTAAAAAAATTCAAAATATTTTGCTTATGCCATGGTGTTTCTTTACGAAGCTATTAGGCTGTAAATAATTACATGAAAAAGATATACATCGTCTAAATATAATATTTTTGTCAATTGTTACTATTATGTTTATCATAGAAAACGTCTAATCTCTTTTACGGAATTTAGTCATAATATACTTTGTTCGCTGAATGAATATCAACCAAATACCAATTGTCTATGTTGACAGATAAATTGGTAGTTTAAAACAAAGAGAGAAATATAAATGGTTTATCAACTTATGTTGTAGTGACCAGTGGATGCATCATTCTCCGACTAAATATTACGATGAATTCAGACTCCTTTTTACTAGACAGAACGTGATTGTCGAAGACAACTTAGTGTGACGACCGGTTAATTAGTATTTCCTTATGTCCTAATTAATGAAGAACCACTTTTCATTAAGTATGACGTGTGTGCTTGGTTTTATTCACTATTTACAAGTTTACAAGTAAGATCGATTTGTCATCATGGAATATCCTTGTAATGCAAAAGTAGTTAACCATCTCGTGATTCTTGTTTAAAATCATTTACAAAACTGCTCTACATTCAAACTTCATAATGATTTGTTAGTTTATACGTAAAATATATATCTTTTTTCCAAAGCAATTCATTCTTGTTCTCAAAGGATAAAACTGACTTTTATTTGAAATAAATCGTCAATTTTCAATCGATTCCATTACTTTTAAAACTGTATTGAAGCGTTAATCTGTTAAGTTGTTAGGTTCATTAATTTAGTTGTACTTGTTCATCACATTGATCCTAGATCGTATATTGACTAGACCATAACATAATTTATCATTTAATTACTAACTAATATATACTTATATCGAACCACTGCATGTATGAACATGATGTTCGTATTACTTCTCCCTTACTTTGATTCACACTTATTGATTCTTTGGCGCTCAGATTCAAATTTTTTTGTTGATCATGATCATTCTCCTGTCAAATATGAATGGTGTTTCTAATGATCTATTTTTTTCCGTTTTAATAACTCAGCAAGAGATTTTTTTAATTACTATTACTGTTATTATTGTTTAATGATCTAAATTTTCAGTTTTATTTAAAGTATTATTGTTTCAGCGTGATTGAATTGCATGGTTAATAACTTGCTAGAATTCACCTGACCTCCCTTTTTTATTTCGAGAAAAAAATAGCAAAAAAACGTGAACAAAATCATTATTGTAAACTATTTATTGATTTTGTATTTTGACTATCTCATGTTTATTTATTCTTTTCAACTATATCGTTTAGATTGATCCGCCAAGTGAACATCGTGTCTCACGTGTACTGGAATTGGTAAAAGCATTTGAAGGGGGTGTTTAATAAATCATCAAATATAGATTAATTATGAATTTTGGTGCTTAATTTCTTTACTACTTTACTTTTACCATGTTTAATTACTATTATTTTTATTGTTATTACTAATTGTAATATGAATGACAGACTTTAATACTCCTCACTCCGAGATGTTCTACTTTATTTCAATTTTTCTATTCATAATTGTAAAATTTTAATTGTATCCACATACCATTGATGATCACATTTTATTCTCTATTACTACTGATTATTTTCATTTGGTTGCGCCATAATGTCCTTTTTCTGTTTTGAGAAAAAATAAATGATTTCAGAGACATCTGTGAATTAATAACATTCTCTATGAATCTAATTATTATTTAATTATATAATTTTATTTTCTATTCACTCAATTGTACTGTTTAAATTATATGAATTTGACTATGTAATAATCTCTGTATCTATATGTGTAGATCTTCTCAATTCTGTTTTTTCTTGTTGAAAATGATTGTTTGTATTGGTTTGTGCCTTCAAAAGCTACCTACCGTCAAATTGAAACAAAATTAACAAACTACTCAATATGTCAATATTTTCTTTTTCATCGGGAAAAAATATTAACAAAAGATTAAACATACAGCATGAATTATGTTGTGTTTTTTTACAGTAAAAAAAGATACAAATTCACCTTTACAATTTCATTCATTTCTTATAATAAATACAACAGAATTGATTATCATCTGGTCTCTCTGTCTTATTATGTATTATAATGATATTTTATGCAATAATCTATTTATTCGATTGTTTACCGTCCAGTGCTTTATCATCATTCTCTATTATTGTTGATTAATACTGATTATTTGTAATGATTTGATGAACGATGAAGAATTACATTTTGTTTCCAAAATATAACATTATCGTTGAATCCCAATGGTGCATAGAATGCAAGGATACTTCGGTACTTTTACAAATTGTCTCTTAAAAACTTACCCTTTTAAATGATTTATAATATCCCTGCATAAACCCTGTTTTTTTCAGGTGTTAATAGAAAATATACAAAAGAGAGTTATGTATATCATAATTGCTATTCTATTTTTTACATATATATTAACCGAATTAAATTACGGCATAAGAACAAGATCAAACTAGCTCACACTTTAGTTAACCGGGGGAGAGCTGAACAACCTGATAAGTTGGTTTCAAAGGCGCTTAACAATATTGGGTAGTCCAGTTTGTTGGAGATTAAATTGATTGAGATATAGTCGCTAGAATTTAAGAGCAAGACGTTTATGATGAAATTTTGTGACAACGACATAAGAACCAGTTTTTACCAATATAGTACGGAAAATAATATCTTCTGATCATTCAATGTCTATCTGGCCCTCATAAACAACTAACGACTGCCTTCAATTCTGGAACTGTATTTACTAACCGGATATTCACTTTCCGTCAGGTGTTAAAGGATGAATATACTTGCCGACGTCCGGTTTTGTATTTTTTGACATTAAGGAGACATTTGACTCTGTTGATCGACAGATTCCGTAGCCGTGTTTATCATTAAGTGGTATAACAAAGCAGTCATAGTAAACAGTATATCAGTAGCAGTAATCAGCATTTAGTTTGAGGCATAACAACCCCATCGGAATCGAAAATAAGTTATTTCAGAGTTTTCTAGAGTGAAAATCGACAATACAGCTTATCCAAGTGTAATTTGAAGAACTCATGAATTCTGCCCATGAAACAAATCTCATGAGTCACACTTTGGAAGAATGTAAATTTGTTTATCAACTAACCACTTACCGAGCAACAAAAGTCACCGTAAAGCGAATAAAGGAACCCCATCATCGTTCGGGGGAAGGTATTAAGATTGAAGTAAATGTATAATTCAATTATGAATTATATTTCCTGGTCATGCCTATAAATTCACTGAGTTTGCGAATCCCATACACACATTAGATTATTAATTAACTATTAGTTTATTCCATTCAAATTCATTGACTTACTAATGAGTTCTGCTTCAATAAGTATCAGGTAGAATTATTTTACAATCATAGCAAACAGCCGTATCATTAGGAGGAATTCTCAACCTTGACATATCTGTCTTGTTCCCAAGATCTTACATTTTAATTGAAAATATCTAGATGTGTCATTTTACTAAATCATTTTCTTAGTTACTTTTATGTGTCTATAAGTTTGAACAAGGTATAACATCTAAATTGTGTTGAAGCCTAATTACTGTTTTGAGTCGTTCACTAAATTGATATCATATATAAAATAATTTGCTTAAAAGTTAATCATCAACTGAATACATACTAAAAAAGTGGTCATATTTGTTGGGATATTCAGAAAAATATTCCAAAAAGTATCCTGGTAAGTCTAATCCTATCCTTGGACTCGAAATGGCATCATTTCCTTACTGGTCAATATTTATTTCACCTGTCATTTTCCTGTTGGCTAAATATTATACAAATTTTATTTTCTATTTTAAGGTACGTTGTGGTCTGTCTGGTTGATATATAAACCGAGTATGTTTGAAATAAATGATTTATATCGCAGAGGCTCGGATTTGTGTTCTGAATTTAACTGGTTGGGCTAGGTGGAAAGCAGGGCCAATCAGAACTTTAGATTGCTCACATATGTTTGACGCGTCATTGACCCGATCGATAATTTACTGCTGTCTAATCGGCGGTTACAAGTCATAACAATATTCTTTCTGAGAATAACTTTATTCACGATGTAAATGTATAGTTGAACTATTTATTTCTTAAAAATTTATCATATGCTATTTAATTATTATGTTGTATGTTTAATTTAAGGTGATAAAAATAACATTTTGAAATCAATTTATTTTTACGTAAAACTACTAAGAAACAGTTCGTTAAAATTGATAAATAATAAAAGCCATGGAATCATATGATTTTGCAAAAATAGATAGTGATACAGAAAAAATAATCAATTTTTTTGGTCATTTATTCAATTATAGAGATTTAGTTAATACAAAAGTTTTATTATTGTCTCTAACTTGTTTATAAACGAAGGTGATTATTGGTAATGATAGAAATTCTATTCAATGTAGCGAATTTTATTCTCCTGAACATTCTAGGCTATCTAGCTCTGTTATAATGCTCTACAGGTATATTTTAGATAAAGGAGATGACAGTTATACGAAACTCGAAATGTTATTATTCAAATATTTCAATTTTAGCTCTAGGCATACAATATTTATTTACCAAGTTTGGTTGAACTTTTAAAATCCTCTGCTGTTTCTTTGCTGTATACCTTTTTTTTAAAAAAAAAGTACTTTATTTGGCGACAAATCAATCGTCATATTCAAAATGTCATTTATATGCACTTTTGTCATTCCTGAACGGTCGATGGACAACAATACTTACGGCATCATGATTTTGAATACAGTTATGGGTATCGTTCTAATGAAATAGAATTTATCTATATTCTAATAAACTGAAAGGACATCTAAATCAAACAGATTCATTGAAAATATACTTTATTGAGCTAAGAAGATTGTATTTAGTAATTAATAATCTGCTTCAGAAAATAAAATCAGTTTTTATGAAATATCTGAACTTTTTTTTACTATAAAGCAGTTCTAATAAGAAAGGAGTAAAGTTTGCCAAGTCTGTAGAGCATTAAAAAAACGATGAGTATTAACTGTAGCAAATAATCGGTGAGATTAGAATTCTACAACCTAATTGTAATCTTTCTACAGCAACTTAATTGTCTACACATTTCAAACAATGATTATGCACTTTAGCGTTTTAAATCTTTATTTTGATAAGTGGCTTCATTAGATTCTGTTTGAACTAGATGAATCCTGGAGTTAATAAGATTCCTCAAACATTGTTATAAAATTCTTTCCTAATAAATGACATAAAAGTTGGAATCTGTGTATAAACTTATTTGTAAATAAACAAACAGAAGACTATTTCTAAATAACTTCTGAATTTTAAATGATTCAATATAACATTTTGGGCTTATCGTTTCCACAAAACGCCTTTCGACTGATAAAAAAACCATAAGCTTTTGCAATCGTTTCGGTACATATAAACGGAACAAAGATAACATGGTTTGCAGAATAAAATGAATTCAATTTATTTATTTACTGTTTCTTATCAGCTGCTAACAGCGAAGGTCTAAAATACACACATGGTGGTATAACCAAAACAATCATTGAGTCTTCTTGATAAGTAAAGCCAAATTATGGGTCACAGTGGATATAAGTTTCTTTTTGGTACCCATCAGCTGAATGTACCTGTACCCTAGCTTTGATTTGTTCACATTACCATACATAATACAACTTTATTAAAACTCATGACTAAATGATACAATCTAGGCGATCTTATATGTATGCATATATACCGATATAGAATGATTAATTGTATTTCTCAACATCAACATTAGGAAAATATGAACCTTCACAAATAAATTCATATTTCAACAGAGTCAATTAAACCTAGACCACCATGGAAAACCTGGAAGCACTGGACGGCCGTTTCGTCCTATTGTGAGACTCAACATATGCTCACTAGTGACTGGCTTCAAGAGATATATCCTGGAGTTCTAGTGAGAAGCAGTGAACAGTGGAGTTCAACCGGGTCAGTTGTGAGGTAGTAACTCACTGATGACAATGGTGGATGTGTCGCTCAATTTCGTTGATTAGTTGAAGTTAGACATTAACACCGGTGGACTCAGGCTCAGTGGTCTAGTTGGTTAAGCGCCTGGCGAGAGACCGATAGGTCCTGGGTTCGAGTCCCGCGAGGCGGGGTCGTGGATGCGCACTGCTGAGGGGTCTCACAATAGGACGGGACGACCGTCCAGTGCTTCCAGATTTTCCGTGATGGTCTAGCTTGACTCATGATCTCAACTGTTGAAATTACTACAATCTCCACAAGACCCCTTCTGATACAAATTCATGTTTGTTGAATATTTGTTGTGCTTTTATATTGAAATATAAAGAAAACGAACTTTGTTCTTACTGGCCTGTTTACATTCTATTAGGTATGTACACTATTTCAGAATAGATATTCAAAATATAATCTAACGTATTCAATAGTTTTTGCAAGGAAAATAAATAATATACAATAGTATAATGTAAGAAAGTATTCATTATATTTTGTGTATTTAATATTGAAAATAAGGTCACAACATTAAAAATAAACTAGGTAGTAGCTTGTCAATAATTGTTAACACATCAATATTTTAGTGGAACCATGTTTATTTCGAAAACAAAATTTATATGTTTTTGTTTTATAAGCAAATGAAACTATATAAAATCAAAGACTAAACAATTTGATTTAGTTGTATTAACCTTTGTTATTTATTATTTGGTCAGGTTTTATTATAAGATTATATATTCTCGTAAATAGTTAAACTGATTCTATACTTTCATTTCAATTATAAGTTGCTTCAGATTTTCTACGTTTTTATTATTCATTTATAAATGTTCAATTAACATTTGGGAACAGATTTAGTTAAGATGTACACTTATGATATTTAATTAATTCAACTAAGTAAATACTGTATAGCCCAGCTTGTATTCTCTTAGCCGATAATAATACTTTCAATTCATATATGTTTACAAGTGACTAGACTCACTCAGTTAACGATAACAGTTCAGTGGTTAGATTTTATAAGTGAATGATCGACTTTCTTATATATTAGCTGGCTTACACTTGTGTTATAACTTGCGGACTGCGTGCCTTGTTAATGTATAAAGTAACGATATCGCCAATTAGAGAGCAGTGACTTATCGATAGGACTAATGACGCGTAAAGTCGTATGAGCAGTCTAGATTCCTGACTGGCCCTGCTTCCTGCCTAGCCCAGCCAGTTAAGTCCAGAACACAAGTCTCAGCCTCTGCGATATGAATCATTTTATTCCAAGCATGCTGAGTTTATGTACCAATCAAACAGACCACAACGTACCATAAAATAGAAAATAACATTTGTGCAAAATTTGGCCAAATGTGGCTGTGAATATGGGAGGCATTGACTAATAGACAGGGCATAATTCAAGAATGGTGTAACGTATAATAATGGTTCATAGGTCAAAATAAAGCTTATAATAAAAAGAATATTAATATGAATAGTTCAGTTATTTAACAATTATACGATAAAAGTATACGTCTAGTATTGGTCCATAAATGGATCCCAAAATTACCATTCATTATGCTTATCAGGACCTAACAACTTGGATTACAGATTTTGTAGTTAGGTTAAGATTAGCTTCTTACAACCTGTATCATATTTAAAATATTCCTATTTACAAAATGAAATGAAAATACTGATAATGTGTGTTCAAAACAACTTGTAAGTAAACTCATTTATGTGAGCTTTTTCAAATCATTTCAATGTTTATTTTTACAAGTTTTTGACGTACATTGATTCAAGCTTTTATTGTTCTTATTACAACCAATGAACCTGTTGTCAAATTATTAATTTACATTTAGTTATTATGCAATCTGTTTCATTGTTATCACTGACTCATGAACTGCCTTAGCTGGTTTAATATTTTCATATATGCTTATAAATATTACTGTGTATTAGAGTGAAAGCCGGTGAGGATCCAATTGAAAACAATGTTGTTCGCTGGTATGTGTTGTTTTAACTTAAAGTACGGCAGTTATTTATATACATATATATATCCTCGACAATAAAGTCACCAGTGGCATATGCCCCATCCCTTAGAAATCCAAGCCATTATATGGCCACTCACATTCACTTGCCGTTTCGTTAATGTCTGATTAAGTCGCTATGTAAGCTTAACATATTTTAAGTTTATATAAACGTATAAAATAATTGTTTAAAGACCCCCATCATATTAAAAAAAAACTTTGAACGACGAATATTCTTTTCGATAAATTCTATTCTGGTTCTACAATTATATATCTATATTAATAATACGGGAAATGGCCAGGTTTAAGGCAAAGTGCATCGTTTAAAGCTAAAGCATGTGAATTTAGGATTGTCAAACAAAATAGAATAAAATTGTTAATGTGTTGATATGACTCATATCTTGATTTAACTTATATGTTCAGTGAAAATTTTAAGACCCATGACCAGAATAAATGTGGGTCAGATAGGGTTAGAGAAATAATAGTGCAATCACAGTTCGATCAAATGTTCAATGGAAGACTATATTGCATAAAAAAGTAGCAAGACATTGTAGTGACTTATGTCGAGCCCACATAACTTATTCTAGCATCTGAACAAACCAATGTATCCATTGCTCTCATCTTACATTTTGACCTTGTTATTTATTTGCTTATCAACTTTGATTGTTTTTATGTAAGCATGTGTGTGTGCATTTCTTATCTTACTCATCACACGCCTATAACTTATTTTTGTTCGGCTATAAATATCGATTAACGCTTGGTTAAATCGAGTTGGCTCACACGCCTTCAGTGCACATCGTCCCTCTGATTGTCTGTCCGGATCAATGGGTGTACAAAATATACGTATTTAAGCATCCATTCTCGTATTTGACTTATTTTATTCCGTTATTCACTAACACGAGTTAAGTCGATAATTATATGAAAGGATATGTATACTTCGACAGCAATCACTCAATAATGATCGTTCATACGATCGACCCGGAGTTAGATACAGGGCCACTAAAACATAATAAGTTGGGATGAATGCAAAGTAAATGAATCATGTATTGAGGAGATTAATAATGATTTTTGACAAATAGTAATAACAGTAATAACAATAATGACAATAGTAATAATAATACGAAGATTTGTGAATAAAGATAACAAAGACAATTACATTTGACTATGAAAGGTCCTATGTACAGTTGTCAAATTAGGTCATTCCATATCTAAGAGTATTATTGACTAATTGGCCTTAAGGTTGGTCAGGGGGAGAGAAGCGGTTGAAGATATTTCTTTTGTACGCATAGTTCCACTTTCTTAGTCCGGATGACTACTGTTTCAGCCGTTTGAAGGACTTTAGGTCTGACAAGGTTTGGCAAAAAATTACTGACCCGATAAATAATAGAAAATGGATTGGTTTATACTGACACTATGACCAATTTGCACTAAATCGGCCAATACTGAGCTGTTCACTTTCTTCACCAGACCTTTGCTTAGCCACGCTTGAAGGTGTTCGCGAGCATGAAAATGTAAATTTCTAGAACTTCGACCAATATAACTTGCTCCACAGAAGCAGTCGAACTGATAAATCCCAAATCGGGTGGTCATTCTAGGTACCCTCTGTGCCACTATTGGGCGCGTATAAAATACTAATCATAGTTCTCCAGCGTTTAAAGATTTTTGGATTGTTCTGTGTAATCTCTGAGTTAATATTTCGTTAGCCGCATCCCGTCTAAATTATAGGCGCATGAACAGGGATTTCTTATTCACCGTTTGTATTTCGCCTATTTTCACCTTGGTGATCATATATTTAATTATAAGCTTTCTAGGGTATCCGTTTTCCCTAAGAGTATTACGTAAGATGTTCAGCTCTTCTTTAACTATATCTGTAGGACATATAGTGCGTATTCGGTAACTAAGAGTTTTGATCAGGTTTCTTTTGTACTGTAGAGGTACAAGGCTAAGGAATTAAATACTGTCATAGTGACTCTAGCGGTTAAGCTTTCGTCATCAGACCTGAAGATCTTGGGTTGGACTTCTGTTAAGGTCATGGGTGCGTTTTGATGAATCTCATACAATGTTAAGACAACTATTCAGTGCTGTCTGGTTCTTAATGATTCATTATATGAGATCAATTTTTGACCGATACTATTTATGACAGGTGAGATTTAGCATAAACAAAAGCTTTCGGCACAAACAATTAAACATTATTTATCATATACTTCGTCGAAATAATAATTTTAAACCTATCAAGATCTAGTACAGTTGATTAGTGGCTATCAGTATAATTCAAGTCGTCTGTTTCTTTCGATTTAGGGGTCATCAGCTGAATGTATCCAATTTCGTGTTGATTTTCCTACTGTGACTAACGGCCTGTGTCTTTCGCTTTAAACGCTCGTCGTATGACAGAAGTATTCACATTTTTCCTGATTAATTAATTGTCATTTGCAATGAATATTTATATTCTTAATGTAAATTACACGGTAACTCCACTATAGAAATAGATTAGTTACTCAGACTTTTGGAAAACATACTATATTGGAGAAAATTTTACTTATAGTTCATGTTTAAGAAAATATCAGACTCTCGATATACAGTCATTTATAAAAGACGTATAAAAAACAAGTGATTATTAAATGTACACTACTGTTGTTCATTTTAACGATCATTCATATGTAAAAACAGATTATTGACAATTTAAGATGAATTAAAAAGTAATGGTTGTTTCTCCCCATTTTCACCAATCTAGAACCTTAAAGCTTACTTTCTAACTATGAGATACAAAAGTTCAGCTACTGACTTTAGTGAAGCATGAACTTTTTCATTAATTCGACATTCGGTAGAAAAATATGTAGTTTTATTACAGCTGTGTATGAAATTCTCAATAAATTAACTACAATTTTATTTCATCCCATTACCTAACTTAAAGTTTAGAGTTGGAAAATAGTTTAGAAATCAAACTAAAGAATCCTAATCAGTGGAATCTCCGTAAGAAATACTTCATCATTTTCATCGTAATCTTTGAGAAATAATAAATGATTACTTAAATTAACAGACAAAGCCTAACGTTTAGAGTGTATTTATGCCTTGTTGAGGCCCGAAAGTAGAGTGAAGAGAATAAACGAAATAGTTTTCATAATTACAAAACGACATACGGATTAAATCTCAAAAATATGGAAATAAATAAACATTTAATCTTTTTGTAAACATAATATAAAGAATTCAAAATATATCTGCAGTAGATCTGTTTATCATACAAAAATCATCAAATTTCGATCAAATGTAGACAATAATATGGTTGATTAAATCAAAGTACAAGCTCCAATCACACATATAAACAAATGTTAATACACGAGTTAAATGTATTGTTATGCTTAAGGTGAGATAATGTATCAACAAAAGAAATAAACAAAAATATTACAAATACAATATATATATATATATATAAGATAATAATATAGGTAGATAGATATAAGTAATACTTACACTTTCAGACAAATGATAAACAACAAAATGTTGATTTTTGTTAGTTTATATAATGATCACTGGACATGAAGAAAAAAAGACGAAATGAAAAAAAGAATATCACTAGCATTGGATATTAAAAATGCATCTCGCAGTTTAGAAGGCATCATGCATTTCTTTTAAGTGACGAATACTGTAATCATAAGGCAGAGCGAATTTAAGATCCTTTAGTTTAATTAATGACTGTAGAGTATCGTTGAATCCTATTTACATGAGAAATAAAACAGGATATTAGATAAAGGACAATAAAGGAAAATTCTTTATTGAACTATTTTTTATTCTGGTTTATTTACACCAATAATTATTCAGTTCGGGACAGCTGATTTCATCGAATAATGTTGGTTTACAGTGTTAGTTAAATCTAAATTGTTTGGCCAAACACCATCTAGTTCCATATGGTTCCCGAACAACTGAATTTTGTTTCGAAAAGTAATTTAAAATTTTCTGATTTTAAAAATGTTATTGAAACTGAGTCAGCTACTTGGAGGTTGCTAATATTTACGTTGAATTCAATTCATGACAAAACAATTAACATTATCCTTGAATCAGTACATTTTTAAGTAAAGACTGTCATTAACAATTTACTGACTTGCTCAATATCGTAAACATTTGTGTTATAACTCGCTCGTCCTTGTCATGTCCCGGGTCTTACTGATTATGCTTAAAAAAAATGGGAACCACTGTAATTACTACGATGAGAAGTCAGAGCAAAAGACTAATCCAAATGAAGGTTTATTGACTAGCCAAAAGATTAGTCAAAACAAGTCGTCTAAAAACATTGTCATTAGACCGAAATACACTCATTTATATGCCGATTTTTACGCATACAATAATATCAAACATTAGAAAAAATATATAGTTACTTTAAAACATATACTGAATTTAGTTCATCTGAAATTATACAGGTAATATAAATGTCATATTGAATGAAAATTCATGAATGAAGTTCATACGGAATTGATACAATAAATATCAACCTAAAATTTCGTCACTTTCTTGTCATTTCGATTTGTATATTTAGCCATTTGATGATAAAGAAATTATATTGGAAAACTTTTCATTTGAAAATAATGAAATGAACACAACGGAAAAAGAGAATTCAGCGAAGAAAATTTTCGTTTCGACGAAATCATTTACTTACACAACGAAGTAATTAAAAACAAAGAGATAAAATGAAAAATATGTGACCAAGAAAATTTACACTTTGATTTTCATATTTTGTTAATTATAGGATTTAAACTAATTGAGTTATATCAAGTCATCTATTGATGTGATACTGTAATTGATCAACTTAAAATCGCAATAAAATAGATGCTAAGTCCACCTTAGATATTTATTTCCAGTGTTTTGTGGTCAAGTGGTGTTGTCACACATAAATCTAAAAAGGAGAGATTGCCTGACACAAAATTGTATTCTCATAGCTAAGGTGTATTTACAAAACATTGATGTATTTATTCTATAATACATAATATTTTACAGACGATAAGTTCTTCCTTGCACCGAATGCAGCATTTCACCAGTAGATAATGCATATAACTGTGTAGACAAACCTTTACGAGTGTATTTATGTAATAACCACATAAATATTTTTGACTTTTGTATCTAAAGTCTAACAATCGTAAAAAATTAGATTTTAGATGGAGAACCTTGAACGGATTAAATGTTATACTAAGAACCCTTGATTTTCGTTTGATCTTAAAATAAGAGAAAAGAGAGAGTTGACATCACTCAACAACTAAGTAACGAATATTATCCAGCAATTACACATCAATACATTAAAATTTTACAGAAAAGACATACACACCTTTCCTGATTCATATACGGTTATCAATCAACTTAACACAAGATCTAATTAACACGATTAGTGATTATCATAGATTCCCAATCAAAACTTATTGTTAAGTGGTACAGTAGCAGTAATTTAATCCTTTCACTTGAGTAAAACATAAATGAAACCACGGTAATTAATCAGTTATCCTGGTTTACATAAATGTAAGTAGACTTCCAAGTAAAAGCCATTTCTGCTTATTATAACGAACACAAATGACTCATGATCTCAACTGTTGAAATTACTACAATCTCCACAAAACCCCTTCTGATACTAATCAACATATGCTCACTAGTGACTGGCTTCAAGAGATATATCCTGGAGTTCTAGTGAGAAGCAGTGAACAGTGGAGTTCAACCGGGTCAGTTGTGAGGTAGTAACTCACTGATGACAATGGTGGGTGTGTCGCTCAATTTCGTTGATTAGTTGAAGTTAGACATTAACACCAGTGGACTCAGGCTCAGTGGTCTAGTTGGTTAAGCGCCTGGCGAGAGACCGATAGGTCCTGGGTTCGAGTCCCGCGAGGCGGGGTCGTGGATGCGCACTGCTGAGGAGTCCCGCAATAGGACGGGACGACCGTCCAATGCTTCCAGATTTTCCGTGGTGGTCTAGCTTCAATTGACTCATGATCTCAACTGTTGAAATTACTACAATCTCCACAAAACCCCTTCTGATACATATTTTTTTTCATTACTTGTTCAACTACTTATGAATTTGTTAAATAAATACTCCCCCACTTTGACCCAGTATGAGTAATTTCAAAATGCCTTTTAATAGAAACTATCTCATATATTTATGAAAACATAATCTTGTTTGCTTCCACAGACAACATACAGTTCATTAACAGAGCACTTGATTTTATGAAACTTATACAAAGGAGAAAAGTTGTGATACAAGACTATATTCTCATGTCTAGATATCTTGGGACTATTAGAAGAAGGACAATAAATGCTATTGCTTTAACCACTAAGAGAACGGGGTTCCTCCCACTTTAATATGGGTCTATGCCATCTAATGGTGTAGCCTGAGATGCTGCATTTTATTTGTATTTATCCTATAATAGACTCTAGTTTTAAAGATTTCTATGATATCAGTAGAATTGTTTTTTCCTTCAGATACATGATGTATTAAACATGTGACAGTGGTTTTTTACTAGTTCTTAGCAAAGGACATTCTATTATTCTAATAATCAAGTTGTCATTGATTATGGACACATACTCTGTCTATGTATTGTCAACTAACTTAATTTCTCGTCGTACTTGAAAAGATTAATTTGGAATATTACAGGACATTAATATACCCACGTGAACATCACTGAGACTTGTAACATCTACATCTTAATTTTAGTATTCACTGAAATAATTGATTAATATATAAACGTATTACCAGCATTTCTGTTGACTCAACAGAAAACTTCTAGTGAATGTTTTAAAAAGTTTATATGTATATGATTTGTCAGTTTTTATGTTATTTGGTTTACCATTTATAGTCTTTTTGACTATGTATGGTGTTGTTAGTTTAGATACAATTTTAAATGACCTGAAATGGAATTCAAAAATGCATACTGAAATATAATCACCTATTTATGGATAAAATGAGGGTGACTATATATTGGATGGTGTGAAAAGAGAATAGTCATTCAGGGATTTTTAATATATTCCGGCTTATGAGTAGAATAATGACGGAAAACGTAAAGTTACCATGATAAAGTTTAGTACAACAGTTTTGCCGATCTTTCATATACTGTGTAACTGGTCAAAGAAAATTTTACAAATTAATAGGAAAATAAAAGTAGGAAATGATGTCTTTCGTCAAAGACCTCCGAGAAAATAACTCATTATATTTGTAAGGATACGTTGTTCAATTTAGTAAACTTCTTATCACAATAATTGGTTCTGATCAAACCAATCACTGAAATATTGGTAATGGTTCAGTGGTTACCACGACAGTTCCCCTAAAAAAGTACCGTTTCTCAACTCTTAAAGAAATGTTTCCATGTTATGTTTACTTAAAGACAAAAATATCTAATAGTTTTAAATCATAGTTTGGATAAAACGGAGAATTGAACAACAGGAAAAGCTTTGAATAAAAGAAAAGCTGGTCTCTGTATCACAAGGCTAGTCAAAAACCTAATTCAGTAAAGAAAAGACAGTCGTCCTAGTTCAGTAGCCTGCTTGGTACGAAGTTCAAAGTATATGGAACGAATCCACTTACAGAGATCAACAAACACTATACTTCTGGATTTTAATAAAAATTCTCGAAATCCACTGTGACGAGATTTGATCTTCGTATTTAGAAATATTATTAACTAACGTCTAAATCCATTGATAACAGAAGCGAGCAATGTAATTAACGAACTTTTTAATCTTTCTCATTTTTAATTCTTCATTTAATTATAGCCACAACCCAGTAAGATTAACTAAATGTCTTTCTCTTTTTAAACCTCCTGGATTTTTGTGGTACTGAATGGTAAAATTATCTTAAATATTCTAGAGCTGTGAATCCAGTTCAAGCCAATTCATTGTACTGCAAAGATTATCATTATCAGTTTGTTTAAACTTCATGAAATCTAGGCGTTGTTGCCACTCTTTAGAAATCCATTTTTCTACTTGTTAAAATACTATAGATACACCATTTCTACTAATCAATTTGAAATCATGAAGTCAAATTTTAGTGATGAAATCCTTAATTTTGATCGAAAGTATTTCATAAAAAGGGAACTAATAATTACAAAGATTATAAAAATAAAACAACAATTAAAAAACTCGGTTACCTGTACTCAAAGTATAACTCCATGGTTCATATATAGATTGAACAAAAACATGATTCCGAAAGATCATTCTTAGCCAAGGGATCAATTTTCCTTCACTTAAGGTAAATAAAACAGGTTCTATATAACATAAGAACAAATATTTTACAATGATGTTCAAACAAATTTATGGGACATTTAGAATTCGACATTGGCTTCTCTATACCATAGCAGACTTAGGTGAGTAGTGATTGGTGGGTTAACTAATTTGAAAGTGATTTGACTGCTAGAATTAATGATGGTATCATAATGAGATTCAGTGAATATTACTACCATAAGTTGCTGATCATTAGGAAAAAGGTAAGGAAGATAATTAGTGAAAACCAACTAAAGATAAATCTGCATTCGCTTCTACATATCAGCTAAATGTATGACTAACTATTAATGGCGTAGATGCTGGTCCTTAATGATCGTTTATCTAGGCTTTAGGAGTCTCCTGATATATTGTAATTTTGGTGGACATCAAGATGATGGATAGTACAGTATATCAATATTTCATTATAAGCGTTTCATATTCCATGAATAGATCGTGTTGTCATATAAATGTACTCAATTTGTGGTGGCCTCGCAACTGAAAACGATTCTTGATGTCAAAAAACTGATTGAACTGTTTAAAAGTATATAGCAAAGTGAGAGTTTTCTAGTATACAAAAACATGAAGCTTTTGTATCGGGCTCTTATCAACTACTTGCAATTTGTAACATTTAAAAACTAAGTTACAGAGCAAGTTAAAAATATTTACAGAAAGAAATTTGGTTGGATTTATGTTTACATGAACTACCTAACAAGTTTTTAACTCACCTTATAGTTTTGGTAGGGAAATATTATAGGTCATTTGTAGTGAATGAGAACCTAATAACATAAAATGAATCAATTTTATTTAGCTTAATTTATGTTCGCTCTTTTCAGTGTAACAGTGGGAACTACGTGTACACTTTCCATGTCAAATACTTCCATGACCTTGAGTATTGTACTAATAATATAACGTTTCGACCCGATTAACACTTATGATAGGCCTTATATAGTTCTCGTTTGTTCGTTTATCTGTAATCTAATACAAAGTTGAAAAAAAAATTGGGTCTTCTTGAAGAGTGTATAAATAATGCTGGCGTGGTTAATTAAGTATTGATCACGATTGAATGGTTTTTCTAGTTAAGGACATCGGTGTTTTAACTGTGACTGGGCGATATTTTTGTCTATTCGAAATGAAAGGAATTATTTATGCAAACTAACTGACCTATTATTAATGGTGTAAGTTTATTTGTCTGTGAAGATCTGTAGCTTGAATGTTTCAACAAGATAATGACAATATATGTGGGCAATCATTTCGACTTGCTTGCGTACCCAAAAATGTATCTAAATATATAATTAATATTAGCCCACAACTTGATATGAATTACCGATTTTACACCTTATTTGTCTGCTCATAGTTTACGCAAATTAATCGCATTATATTTTGTTCGGACACTTTTAGCCATTCTGTTTGAGAGATAGCAAATATCCATAACAATTTGTGTTGTCAATCGATTCAACGATATTGTGTAGTGATTTTACACTTATTCCAGTTGATTATTTACAACTAAGCAATAGGAAATGAACTTGATACTTTTCTTTATGAAGACTCAATGATAAAGGGTTCTAACTGGACAGTACTATACACAAGTAATAAAAACGACTAAGAGAGCAAGTCAATTTGACTAATCTTACTAAGTTTAGTTAGTATTCACTACTATATATATCACTGATACTTGGTCACAGTGAAGATAAATTATACTGTTAAACTTTTCTAAAGAAATAATTAATGATGTATGTACAGTACTTACTGCAAATGCAAAGTATTTCTCTTCATATTATAAACTAATTGAAAATGAAATTATTAGAAATGAGTTTTTCCGACTTTATAATTGACAAATACATTTAATTATTAGAACAAAATATTATGACAGTATACTAATATTAACAACCTTGAGGGAACTTAACAGCCAATGAAGAGACGCTGCCCAGTTGTCAAACGACACATCATGGCACGTCATGCAGAAAAAAAGAAGGACGAAAAGAGAAAAGAACAGCTCTTTGTGGCACACCTTCTTGACTTAATAAAGACTTTGAACACTTCCCTCCAAAATATGTATACTGTTTTCCTACAGAGAGGAAAGAACCCATTCAGTTTGTTATTCAGCTGTCGGTGTTGAGGCTGATAAACTTGTTAAGTAGTAACAGTCTTGGAATAGAACCAGAGGCAGAAGTACAATCTAGAAAGGCCCAACGAATATACTTCTTAACCTTTCCCTAGCTGAACACTACATTATGATGCAGAACAACAGAATCTAAGGTACTTATTTTGCACACGCAAGGAAACTGATATGGATCAATATGCTCTTTGAATGCAGGTTGAGATTAGAGTAGCAATAGTTTTTTCACAGTTTTGAGAAGAGGTGAAGTTAATGCTATGGGTCTAAATTTTAAATTCTTATCGCTAGATATTTTATTTGGTATTGGGATTATTTTTAACTTTCTTTGTATTTTCGGTAGAAAATTAATTAGGACAGATTCGTTAAACATGCTTGTGAATGGATGGCACAGAAGGTCAACACATCTCTTAAAAAGAAGGTTTGAGATTTCGTCAGGTCCTAAACATCGAGACGAGTAAAGTAATTAGGGACATTTTCGAACATAAGTTTCAGTGAAAATTGAAATACGGTGTTTTCCGATTAGTCATTTGTAAATAATTAAGGTTTGTCGTACGAAACATGTTTTTCAGATCTTGAATATTATCTTCTGAGTAATTCCTGTATTTAACTTTTTTTATCAGATATAAGAGTGTGCTTTTTCCAAGCATGTCATATAATTTAGGTGGAACACGAATAATACAATGATCACAGCTAAACAATAGAACATGTTACGAGTCATATATATATTTCTACATCATCTATAATGAACAACCGAACGAGTAAGAAAATCTACTACATTTTGGTGATCTGGCGATGAAAGAAAACTACAACCGGATGAATTACAACCACCCTATGTAGTTGAAAATGAACCATTGAAGGCAGTTACGACAAATATGGTGAATACATCAATAAAAAACAGATAGTGTAGTCAATCTGATGTAAGGAGTCACGTAAATGTCGGTAACATAAACTTAATTGTATTTGTTCCAGTGTTTTGGATGGTATGTGAGACGATTGGTCGTAAACGTTTTATATACGAGCCTTGATGGGCTGTGTGGTTAAAAGACGTATGGGGTGTGTTAAAAATAACAGAAAAGATAACTTTTGAAATATCTAGATGGTAGAAATAGGTACTCCAGATATTCAAGCACATCAAATACTTTAACATAATCCTTCTTAGATGCTTTAATCACCATTAAGGTAGTTTAGTTCTTAAACGGAAAGCTAAACTATTGTTATAATCATTACATTACACTGTCTGAAAAGTTACAACGCCTAGTCGATAGAAATAGTTGTATTCCATAACTTATAGTTATTTGGGACTTTAATTATTCACTGTCGCTGATTAGTAATTGTAATGAAATAAATTTTAGATTTCTGTACAAAAAAGCCACGAACAATAGATCAAGGTAAGACATTTTCGCGTATCCACTTTCGTTACATGACCTATTTGATTCTACTCCATATCATCGGTTAATGTAAAATCCTTTTGCATTACCAAGATTTAATCAGTATTAAATTTTTTCAATATTTTTGACTTTATAATCGAGTTTAAATGTAAAATGGCTTGCAGAGTTTGATTGTTGGTTGGTTGGAAATAGTTTATGTAGACAGTCTTTTGTTAAACAGTGAAAAAAACAATCTCTTTGATAACCGACTGAATAACAAGATTTTGTATAATCAAAATTGTTGATAATGAATAAATAAATTTTTTTTAAACATTCAGTTGAAATCAAGATCATCTTAGAACAGAAAATACTAATAACTATTGTCAATCAGTATTTTATAAGTTTGTGAGAATTTACAACCAAATGAAAAATAATATTCATGTCTTAAAAATAGAAATAATGGAAGATAAATAAAGTTTTCCAAATAGATTATGCATATAATAGTATGAGTCGGTCATAAATAGCAAAAGGCTTGTTACAAATATACATCAATCAAAAACGGTTATGGAAAACGTTCGGACACGTATTATTAAAACTTTTTAAAAAGACTTCTAAGTAAATATACTTACTTAAGTGCAATACTAATGAATGCCTTGAACTTGGCATCCTTACTGCGTTTGTATGCCACGTGACCCTGAAGAACATTACCCATTGCACTGAAAAATTTCTAAAGTAAACCACAATAACCGAACATGATCTGCTAAATTTTGACTAGTTGAAATTAAATGTTTAAAGAACAATTAATAATTCAAAAAATATACATATTTATTCTTTAGTAATTTTTATTAAATATTATTTAGCCGTATGGTTAAGAAATGGAACAATCAGTAAACGTATTCAATGAATAATTATATTGCAAAAAATTGTCGATTGATCAACTGAAGTCAATAAAGTCATTGAATTTTGAACTATCAGCTTCTTCTAATTACCTCATCTCATTGAATAGACCCTACCACAATGTTGTTTCATCTAGCTTAGTAGATATAAAGTAAACGTTTTTAGTAGAACTCTCCAAACATTAAAGTACATACATTAATCCAACTGATCAATTATAGGGTTTAATGATACAAACAAATGTACATACGACTCTACACGTTGCCAAGTAAATAATTTCAATCTTTCTAAATCCATAAATGTCTGTTGAATGTTGGAAAACTAACTGAACAATAGATTAGCCTTGATATGAAAAATTTTGATGAGAAATTCTCTGTTCAAAATTTAACTGTCAGAATGACTATGTGCGAATATCGTTTTATTAACTTACTTGAAGTTCTTACATTTGACAATCGTTGTTGAAGGTGCTCTATAGAAAGTTATTCACCACGATTTCATCCTTGATAATACTTATTGATTAATTATTAGTTGCAACTTCAACAACATGCATAATTCCAATGAGATTCCAACTAGTACAGTGAGGATTTAACATCAATACACTTTTTAAGAAGCTGTTAAATAAGCGTTAATTTTTGTGTACAATGTCTGCTAACATCCCATCATGTCATTTAAATTGTTATCCACTCTACATAAATCGACTTATGGCCTTCGAATATCACTGAAGTTGTGAAAAACATTGTATTAATTGTAGTTTTTTACTTTATAAGATTTGTTTCTTATTTTGTTGCTTAAGGATAGTTATTTTATAATGTTAATTTAAAATATTTGTTTAATAGTATTACTCATAAAGTGTAGCTGAATATCTATTTGATATATTCTATGCTGATTGTATCTAATTTAATTTTATGCAATTCCTCTAAAGATAAGCCAATTAGACAACCGTCTTTTTTCACAAAACATACTTCATTTATTCATATAGTCATGCATTTTTTGCATACATGATAGACTAAACTACTAAATTACAATAATTAATCTGGTTAGATGAATAAATCACCAATACAATGATTAGTGAATCAGTTATTTGTGTATATTTGGTTTTCTATCAGTAAATTACATAAATTTAACCTGGAGTGTAGCGATACAGTTTAACAGAGTGAAAAATGTTAAAATGTAAGATAAAAACCTGTTTATGAATGACTCGATGTTTATATATATAGAAGCCAGATAAAGTAGACCGTATTTGCTGTTAAATAATGTATCATATAGGTTATATAATATATTCAAGTAAAATTAGATACAAGTAACCATACAAGTAGATCGTATTGCCCATCTTGAAAACTTTAAAAAACCAAAATAAAGTTAATTTATAATTTATAAGTTTTTGTTTAAATGGTTGAATGAACAAACAATGTAATCCCTGTACATACTAACCTCGACTGTCAGTAGAGGAAAAACACTACGATAATTTTAAGTATTTTTACACATTCAAAACACTCTACTCGTAAACGTTTGCGTTGTTGATCGAGATTTTCCACTAAACTATTTATTACTTATAAATGATTCGATCACTTTCATGGAAAAAAGTGTCAAACAAATTTAGAATATGCAAGACTAATTCATCAGGATCAAAGATTAATCAACTGATTTACGAAAGTCAAACTGATACTTTCGTTTGCTGTGCTGATAGAGTTGAAGAGAACAAAGAATGCGGAAAGGCATTTAGATAGGACACATAACAATGAATAATAATGCTAACAGCGTTAGTTATTTTGTTGACAGATAGTCAAAGAATCTTATTCAAGGTTTATTGTTAGCAGATTTTTAATCAGAAAAAGTATCTGAATCTCCAGAAACCTATCACCACATTATTATTGGCATTTTTAGTGCGCAATTTACTATGTGTAGTAAATTAGTATTTCCAATGGTAGGCAAGTATATAATACATTAGACATTGATTTTAACAATTGGTCACGATATGTATGCTGTAAAATGTTGTTTTAAAATAAACGAAAGATATTAATCAAAGGTTATTTTAAAATACTCCTTACAAGTCTGACTTTTCAGCAAAAAATCACTTCTTTCTTCCTAAGACTCCTTAATTTAGCTTATGATTCGAAAAGATTAAACATTTGTATTGGCTAGTTACCTGACGATTTGTGATTGTTTTACCATCAACTGTGTCTAAATCAAAACTTTCACAAAGTTTTCTCGCCGGAGATTCATTATACCGTGGACCATTCTAAAACAGAACAGATTTAATTCAATATAAATCAATACATAATAGGTTATAATTAAGACATTCAGGTATTTGTATCCGATTGAATTGGAATGAAAATGTTACAAATGTAGGTAGAGACATTATTCTATAGTGACAAACTCTGTAATTTAACAAATTTTAACTGTACGTTATTTGTTTAAATTAAGTGGACAGTTATCAAGAACTATTTTGACATTTCTTACCTTTTAAACGGATTCTTAATTAGATAACCTTTTTTTCAGAAATTTGTTATTCTTTTCCGGTTTTAGATTATTCATTGTTTTAGTTAGTTGTTACGTTGACCTATAGCTAAGATAGTAATTTGACTAGATAGAAAATTTCATATAATTATACCTTTTTCTAGTGAAGAAATATTTTTCTGATGTGATAATTTCTCTAAACGTGCCTAGTAAATAGGTCGAAACTGTAAGGAATTCATTCTAATTTAATTCAAAAATTTTCATTATCACTTCTATAATTCCAAGTGGATTATAGTAATCTGACAAATATCCACTTGATACCTGTGACTATACTGTTTTTAGAAACAGTTCTACGATACTGAAGAGAAAGCCTTTGAAAGGCTATCGTGCTCTTTAAGAAACTCCATAAAACCATGAGGTAGATAATCTTATTAACGTATGGAGTAGTCGAATAATAAGGTGAGTATAGCTTCCGTAACTTCACTTATCATACAAATTACTTTATGAAATTAGTAACAGCAAAGGTATTGAGTGAATTGATGAAAAACAGCCGTGAATAAATTTCTAGATACTAATTACGTCTAGAGTCGAATTATTCTATTAGTCAGAAAACGTAACTTTCAATAATTTCAAACAAAAATAAAATAGTCATTTCTTAACAATCAAGTCATCAAAATTATAATTTACAGTAAAATAACAGAATTAATGTATGAAAGTTATATTTTAAATAATCCCAACGTTTCGTCCAGAAAACTTGTCTGGACTTCTTCAGAGTGAGAAGTCTAGACAAGTTTTCTGGACGAAACGTTGGGATTATTTAACATATAATGTCTTTTCTATACTCGTCACTCAATTTATGTCAAACTGTTCTTTCTGATATTGACAAATATTCGTATAAGACACAGAATTAGGCTGGAAGAAATCTCAACAGGATTTTGAATGTTGTCAGTTCACGTTGCAAAAATAATTCAAATTGACGAAGCTACTTAAATAGTAAAACAAGTAGTCTACAACTATACTTTGATAATATGATTGACGGAACGACATTTAATTATGTCTCATTGACTAGTCCAGCATTCTATAGGCATGCTTGCAATGAAAAACTAATAGTTAACTGATTTAAATTAAATTGAACCATGAACCTGTCAGTAAACTGAAAAAACGTAGAGATCAAGTGAATAAAGACACAAACGTGTTAATGAGACACAAATATTCAGTATTTTATTAGCTTAAACTTAAATTTTATGTGAATATTTAGACATAATTTATCTTAAAAATGGAATTGAAATGTGAAAATATTGGACTCTGTTTTGATTTCACTCACCTTAATTTGATAAAAACGCATTAATACATCCCACGCATGGATTCCTATATAATTAGAACGGGACCCCGAAAAAGAGTTTGAAATGTAATCACTTGATGGATCGTTCAAATCTAAACATTCAAATTTATCTTCTGAGTGATTTTTTGATCTTGAGTCTAAACAGTTCAGGATAGGACGAAGCAGTAAAATGCTTCGTTTATTTGCTAAGCCCAAAGGTGAATTTTCATCAATTTTCTGTAAAGCTTTCTTTATAAGACCATGTTCGATAAGATCACGTAAAGCGGGACAGAGGTATCGACGTACAACATGCACCACAGAGCGTTCAGCTTCAGTATACAGAAACTTGAGTACAGACAGTAAAATAATTTTTTGTGTAATATTATAAATCATAAAGTAATATAATAAAAAACCTTCAAACAATATTTAGGAATGAGATTCCACCTGAAAAAAAGTAGTGTTAGCTTTAATCTAACATACAGTAATATGCTAGAAAACATAAGCATTTGATCTGCGGTTCAATTATGTTCATTTATTATCGTGTGAAAATGTAGAATACATACAGAGTTGAAAGCACAATGAAAATTTTCAGACATGATAGAAGTCAACAAAATTCGTTCACCAGTTAAATTAAACATGAATTACATTAATAAAGGAACATAAAATAGTAAGAGAAAAAGATAAACTACTTTTTCAATACATTTTATTTGTTTAGACGTTAGTTGTCATTCGGTTCATACAATAATTTGTGGTTTAAAATATGACAAGTTAGAATACTCATGTTTAAAAGTAATAAGATCTTAATGAGGTGTCCTTCTTTCTAGTCCATCGGCAATTGTTCCTCCTTCTTAATTTTCCTCAACAGAACGCGAAGTATGTTTGCAGTTGCTTCTATGTCTGACTTCGGCTGGTATATTGTCAGGTCCTTCTACTTTCGCACTCTTGATTTGTCTTATGGCCATCCTAATTTCTTCGGTTGTTGGTGGAGTGGCATCAATAGAAAGGTCTGTATGTGCTGCTTCTATGTCCGGGGGGCTCAGTGTAGATGGTATATTTGTGAATTATTCAGTGTTCCGCCCGTCATTTCCTCTGTTCTTGAATCTCAGTGACTGTTTTGCCTTCTTTGTCGTGCATTATCCATGCTTGTAAGCATTTTCGTGATACATAAACTGTTATAATATGTTGTACATTTCTTAAATTATTTTCAATTTATTTCAGACCTGTTATTCAGTTCTCTTCCATTTATGGAATGCTTATGCGATTATTGCAATTTCTTAGTTATGTTAATGTATGTTCAAGATTTTGCTTCATATATTGTTCTATGGGTTTGAGTCATATTAAATTTAATGAATTAAAACTGATCCGCTTTCTACCTTCGTCTTCTGACTGGCTACTGGGATAGAATAGACTTGAGGACCAATAACGCCTTGGTTATTGTTGATTGGTCGATGTGTAAGTCGGTAAATAGGTTACCGGTACTACTGATAATATAAATCAACTGATCGATAATAGGACTAGAAAGAGGTTATACAACTCCTTTCCTACCAATTCAAGTCAAGAAAACAACCTGCTGTTGCTTTTTCCCACATTACACTTTTTAGTTAAATAAAGTTTACTGTCAAAGATAACACTGAAAATACACTAACCTCTGATGTTTCACATGAGCTGCTTTCTGTGTCATCCATATCTTCAGTGCATGAAGTGAGTTCATTTTTATCGTTACACAAAGTTGGATTTGAAAATATTCTATCTGGTCTTCCACCATATAACAATGCACGTAAACTGGCACCATGTAAATTCTGCACAGGTAAAGCAATTTGAGTACCGGGAACTTCATTCTGACTAAAACCCTTACGTAGTGATACATAGGATCTAATTGTACTATCATATGTGGGCATACTAGCTTTCCCATCTGGACTTTCACGTCCAGATGGAACTGTATTACGAGTTTCCGACTGTGTTGTACATGAATGAATCATATTTGGCATTGTATGATATGTAGAGTATAAATTGACTACTGGTGTTTTACCTAGTTTATAAGTGTGAAGAGTAACCACTTTTTCTTGAACCATATTTATAGCAATTTCAAGACGAGCTCGAATCGTTCCCCAGTGTTGTGTTTTGGCTTTCTCTACGGTAGATGAATTCGATTTGTCAACTGAAAATAAACAAAATGTCCGAGACAGTAGTATAGTGATTTATTTCGAAAAAGGGAATATGTAGATTACCATCTATAATGGACACTTCCGTAAAATGACAATTGACTGGTTAATCATCATATAATGATAACGTATCGATTAAACGGCAGATCACTAAAAATGTCCTGTTGACATCTGAATCCAATCGATGTTATTGGAAATAATAAAATTGTAAAATTCAAACCTACTCACTATTGATCATATGATTTATGATAGTGGAGATAGTTTGTTCGGTAATTTTGGCATTTTTGGAAGATAGTTTTCATTGCGAAATTATTTTTCAAGATATCCAGAAAAACTATAAAATAGCTCTCAGTAAATATAACATTTATGTTATCTAATTATACTACTAGCAAGTAACTATTATTTTCTTGCACATTTTTTTCGAAATAGCAGCTTGAGCCTTTTTTATAGATCTACGTGATACTTTAAATATACCATTTTTCCTCCTATGGAACAAAAAGCACCTTCGCACTAAAACTCATATTTGTTTGTTTTAGAAAAATATATCCATATACATACTGCGAAATCAATACTGTTTTTTGGGATTCTTACTTCATATGTAACCAACAGTATTCACTAAAACTGGGTTAATTACTGACAAGCTGACTGATAAAACTACGTAAAACGTCTCAGAGAAATTCGTCGACTGATGCTTTGAATTTACAAACTCCAAGTAAATATGAAGTAGACGGGATTTGAGAGATATTAAAATGAACAGAAAGGTTACGTCAAAACTGGAAACACAGCATCGATAAGGTGTCTAAAACCTAAAGAGGTAAACGGATTAAACTTAAATACTTTATTGTTTGACTAGAATCGTTTCGAATATAAACCTACCCTAGCTATTACCTTAAATTTTTGCATGAGATGGTTGTCACTGAACAGTACCACTTTACAAACTAAATGGCTTATCCAAATTTATGGTGTAGAAAGTCAAAACACTGCTCACTTATTCGTTTTACTACATTTAAGCTAGTAAACTATTATATCAAAAACACTGCTTAAACACAATGTCGTACAAAGGTATGAAAATGAAGTCGATGGTACTAATGATGTAAGCTACAGATCTCTGATATGACCACTTTTTGTTAAGTTCCGTTACGAACAGATCAATCATCCTTCTTTGTGCATCATCACTAATCTACATGTGAACCAGTTTTACTATCGTTCATGTATAAACATGAATTAGAGACTTCTATTAGTTTGCTAAAACAGTGGTCAGAAAGTAGACTATTATTTGTCTTACCTTACTTGAGCGCTAAAATATAATTGTTCAACGGGTATACAAAGTCAGTTATATTTATTTGAATATATTACCCTGAAAACATAACTTCAGATGTCTTTTTCGAAATAAATTTCTCTGTAAAATTGAAATGTTGACAAGTCCTTAAAAAATAATGACCACCACGTCATTACATGACAATATTTTTTTGCAGTAGGACATTTACCAAAAGATAATTATTCAACATCAAGTAGATTATGTTTAATTAACTTTGGGTAGTCTTTTCAACATAGTGATGAACTGAATATATCAACCGATATCTTATTTGACTTTTAGCACGTAGACGACTGAACTGTATATCAAGATGTTCTCTAACAAAACAAATCATCAGGGTTTTATGGAAAGATCAAAACGGGCTAAGCATTGAATGATTATTTATCAAATATTTAATACATTGTTTAACCATTATTAATATCTATTTAAAAATTACGCGAATGTATCGCCTTACATTTGTAAAAGTTACAGTAAGTTGATGTTTTTACCAATTAACTGTGTTAACGAACATTTATACATAAAGTTAAACAAATTCAACATTTCTGACCTTTATGAGGAGAATGTTTATTCACGTTGAATTTTGTCAGCAATGTATCAGGATCCTGACCCAATTGACTTGCTGCAAACAGGTTGAGAAGTGTGATGGCTCGTTGAATAAGGTTAATGATAGTGAATCGAGATTTCTAAAATAAACCGAAGATGCATACTTACTATATGATACTAAGCATTATACAAGACGGAATTTGATTGTTAGTGAGACCGCGTACTAAATTAATCAGTCATGTCAAAAGTGAGACCTGTGATAATGTTTGCTAAGCGAAATGTTGGATTTTTAAAGTTCAATCTCTGAAATCATTTGTAATTTTAGATTCTCTCCTCCATATCTTACATTAACTCCGTGATCAACTACTGTGGAACTACTCGTTCAAATTTAGACGGAAGTTCTTATAAAGTGTTCCGGTTAAGACAACTAGAATTGTTTTCTTTTAGCTAATCATACACAGTGACTGACACAAAGTATCATGTTTCTATAATTTTCAAATACAGTTGGATTAATTCCAACGTTCACTTTACAATTAAAAAAATGAGATTTGAATACTGTGACTACTCATATTTAAAGGAAGTTTCGAAACACTATTTTATCTTAAGCAAATAAATAAACTAGTTAATTCAGTTTAGTATGTAGTAATTTTAATTTTCTCATTACAACTATTTATGATGTATATATGTCCAAACAATTCTTAATTATCACTTGAGATATATCACAAAATTGAATCACCATTGAAAGATAATACACGGCAACTTTACAAGTACGAAAAAGAATCAGTTACATAATTCAAACTTATGTCATCAACTGCAATATAGAAATAATTGATTTATGACTAACGAAATTACTACAAGTTTTCTTTACACTACAATGTTCTGAACATCATTATTTGATAATAATAATAATAATAATAATAATAATAATAATAATAATAATAATAATAACTGAAACATAACATATACAGTAAACACAAAAAAATTTAGGTTCCGATTTTCAACAATAAAAAAACACATAGATAATTAGGATAGATGGACTGTGACTACCAGTAGGCCCCATAAAACACGTTACATCTTATTTAGGGCTTGTCAGCTGAATGCAGTTGGACCTTACTGTTAGTTTTCAGATTGAAAATTGAATCCGGGACATTTTATCTGGAACCTTCAATGTGTTATCTAATAAGTTAAGTTCAGTTGATGAACTTTGAATGGATTCACTTATTAGCTGCTATCTATTTATTTTATAAAACTTGTGACAAAATGACTATATCAAGGGAATCTGTATAGGAAACTCATATTTCCAATAAAGAGTGATCAGCATCCAGTCCTGAATATTGACAACCCTTATTAATAATAATAATAATAAATACACAATAAGTCTTTTATCAGTTTACCCTGACATCACGTTTTCTATTATCTCTACGCCTTAATTCTTGTTCTTCGGTAGAGGTGATATCCTAAGAAACAAAAAAAGTAAAAAGGTTAGGGACGTAAACAAAGCCTATTTTTTCATCTTGACAGACAATTCAAACTAACATGTATGGTTAAGCAAACAATATTATTTGAAGCACATAAAACAAATAAACAAAGTACTAGAAGATGAAAAAACGACAGTTAAAATAACATCCATACAACATCAAACTTGAAAAAAAGTAAAGAAACAGTTATCAACTGATAAAACACTGCACGTATATACACACAAAGCAATAATACATAGAACAATTATTTTTAGTCAACAAGTGTTTACATGAACACATAAACATTATGCCTATACCCTGAATCATTAAACGACCTGTGGACAAATTCTGACACAATATAGTCTTCCACAAACATTTCATCGATTTTGTAATTACACTATTATATCTCTCACACAATCTGATCCATATTCATTTTGATTAAAAACCACAGAATTTCATTTAACGTATAAGCTGATTCAAGTTAACACAGCATATTAGTCATCTCAACATTGAAAATTTTACTTTGATTAACAATCCTAAATTCACATGTTTTAACTTTTAACAATGTACTTTGCCTTAAATCTGGGCACTTTTTGAATTATTAGTCTGGATACATAATTGTAGAACCCGAAGAGAATTTGTTGAAAAGAATATTCTTTGTGCGGATACATTAGTGTTTTAATATGATGAGGATTTATAAACGATCCTTTTATCAAAATTATGATTTTTAGAACATTATATTCAGTATGCATAGATTAAAAGTTAATATCTATTAAGCATCTCATATGTTCTTTATAAATCAACACTTTCAATCAGCTAATGAGTCAAAATCTCAAAAATAAATTCAGATTCAACTAGATCAAACACAAGCTTGATTAATGTTAACTTCGAAAATTGGAAACACAACATCAATTCAAACTGAACACACAAATAGAGAGATACCTCTAAATAGGCATCAATACCATCAGTATTATAATCATTTGTATGACTATGTTGATAATCTGAATGAAGATGACGACTATGTCCTAATTGTACACCAGGATGGATATGTGATGAAAATATACTACTATTGTCTAGATCATGGTCATCATTATTATCATTATTTTGTGTATGTGATCTATTAGAATCATAACAACACGATGGTACTTCATTATTGGCTGATAACTGATGATGTGTACGCTTGAAATCAGCTAATGCTTTAGCTAAAATATCACTGCATGCACCAGAGCCTAAGTGAAAAGATAACAGATTAACAAAAATAATATGATAATATATCATAACAATGAAATAATGCAGTGCTCAAACTGGCGTGGATTTTTATATTGATAAAAAGCAATAAGTTGAAAAATTACGAAAGTAAGAGAACTATTCAATGTATAAATAGTTAATTACTTCGCAAAATGATTTTCTTTCATTCAACTAACCATTACTTAGAATAATAATGTGTAGATCAGTAAAAGAAGGTTTGTAGACAAATACTACTTGCTACGGACTATTCTTTCAATCTTTCTCATTATAAAATAACTATAATGTTTGGTGTAAACTAAATAGGCTTGATAAACTAATTTTGATAGTTACGGTTTAGTATCATTGATAAATTCCAGTAATTCAACGAAATTTGTCACAAACAATTATTTCTGTATACAATGACTTCTGATTAGGTAAATTTTTCGAATTTATTTTTCGTTGATACATGTCTTTATTTAAATGAGTAAAAAAAGTGATGGTCTGTAATTCTATACACAATATTCAAGATTGTTGATTAGTAGGCTGTCATAACTTGGCTGGATCCTCTGTGTAAGCCTAATCTGTATAAACAATATTTAATATTCGGCAATCCATCAAATTTCCACCATCGTACTAAGCGTTAAAGCAGACTAACAAATATTCATATAAGAGACCTTAAAATTATCGAATGATATAAAAGAGAAAATTATTGATTAGTGGTATGAATCCATTTAAAACTAATGAAAATGAATGGATAATAACAAAAATGTATTGTTCACTAGAATGTACTCATTTCTATCATTATTATGCAACGGTCGATAGTTTAGTAATAAAACTAATTTCTTTAGACCATATTGAATCATATTTACGGGTATTTGTATTTTCCTGTTGATCAGTCCGTGTTGACACATATGTATACCCTCAAAGGATTGCCCCAACATAGAAATTTAATCACACGCTTTAATAACAGATTGGCAGTAGCTAGCAGTAGAATTCAGGACACACGTTCCGTTTAATTTTTACCTCATGACACTGCAACTGGGTCGTTATACAAATTATCTTTACAAAGTAGTAATAACTTCAACCTGACGAGCACCATGATGTTATCCCTAACCAATATTAACTAAACAAATATTTCTTAGATATTTCATACAGTATTAGTACTTTTTGCACAACTCATTTACTGGATTCAGGTATCAATGAATTAGCTCAATAAACTAAGAATAATCATAAATTGTAGGGTATTGTTGATTAGTAAGGGAAATGAGTACTTATAATTGAGAAGTAAATTCCCATAATAATTTCGAAAAATATTGAATCTAATTTCGACTTTAGAAAGCTCATAATACAGTGAAATAGTTACTTGAAAATATTTTGTTTCAACTGTTAGCATGAGCGAATGATGGCACAGTTGAAGGCAGTGACAGGACTTAACATAACACACCGAGAAATGAGTAAAGTAGAATTGGTAATCTCATCAGGGAATGATTATTAAATCAAGGATAACTTAAATTACGAAATGATTTCAGCTAAACAACTATTGAAAACTGAGGAACAAATAAAAGTTCTCTCTACTCAGTTTGAAACATACGATCAATAAGTATTTCAATGACCTTAGAAAGACACTAAACATTTAAAAAACTTGTTATTTAGATAGTAAAACTTTACCACACTTGTTTGACATTATAAAACAACAAGAAGGTCAGTGGGTTACTAAATTATTAGAAATTGATTTCACTTAAAGTATAATTGGTCAAATGTTCACACAAAAGTGAGTTGTAATGACACGACCAAGTGAATGTAGGTAGGTGTTTAAATTAACAGCCTCTATCACACAAAATGTAAGATGGGAAACAAACAAACTGATCTCAGCCAAAGTATATATATGGTGAATTAGGTCTCGTAAATAATATTGTTAAAAGAAATTGAATAAGAAACCAAAAATCAATCAGTAGTAATCATACGAAAAGGTTCTGGAGTATGATATATATTTAAAAACTTTTATTTCCCATTATCAGTTAAAAAGTGGTCGACACCTGGGTGATCAGCACTGAATACGGTAAAACAGTATACTTACATGCATACACACATTTAGGTACTGACAATAATATGATTCCCTAGAATAACCTTAAATAACTACTCACCCGCATAAAGTTTTATTACCATATGTGAAGGTACTTGTGATTTACTTCATAATTAAATCGATTCTTATAAAAAGATGAAGACAAAGTCAGTATAAAAACGTGCCAAGTAAATGGTTTTTTCCACTTGTTAATGCACTATCAGTCTACAGTTATGTCCAACTAGATAAATGTTTTGTCATATCTTGAAGCATCAAAATTAAATGACATCTAAAATAGCAAGAACCTATGATCACTAGTTACTACATACAACATTTCAAACTGTTTTATTAATCCTTTGATTTTACTGTTGGATAGATTAACATAGATTCGTTTTTTTGTTAGTTCTTCAAAATAGCTGTAATCCTAGCTATTCATTTAAATTGTTAAGCGTAAGTGAGCAATTCAAGTGATATTTTTTTACGCTTAATTGATTTCTTAAGGTTACATTATTTCAACTGAAACATGATCAACTAAGATTGTTTTGAAGATAAATTCTAAAAGCAGTAAAATGACTTAGCACAGTAGATGGTTTAAACCATGCTAAGGTTAAAAATAGAATAGATTTTTATATTTTCAGCAAATATTCTTACGTTTCGAACCGTGTATTTATATACGATAAATTTATATTCACTTACATAACTTATTCGTTAATATAATGAAAGTCAGAATAAATTATGTGCATACAATCAAATTCTATGGAGAAATTCATTTTCGAAAATAAACGATTTAGTAGTAATTCAGATTAAAAGTTGTTCAAATTCGACTTTTCTTTAATGAATGAAATTTTAACTAGTCTTTTTATTTTTATTAATTTGTCTATTCAAAGTTAATTATTCAATTATTGTATCGGGATATTTCATTGAGCGTAATAATAAAAATAATTTATAATGGCTTAACAAGTTATCTTTCCAGTGAAATGTCTACGTGATTTCCACTCAATTCATCTAAAGGATAAGTTATAATTAACATTGTTATACAATCCTTAATAAAACTGTTAAATTCTTCTGTACAACTAATTATAAACAAAATTCTTTCCTTAACTATCAGCAAATGTTCAAATTGTCCTGATGATGATATTCAGGACTGAATTTTCATCATTATATGTTGACATGTATTTTTATTCTTTATGGATTATCTCAGTAAAGGCACTTGGTTTTGTTGTTAGAAACGTTGGACTGTGGCTAGCACTGAAATCCAAGAAGTGTGTTTCGCCCTATTTATGACTCGTCAGATGGATTTGCCGATATACCAGTTCTGATGTTCATGCTACGACTCAAACGCGTGTCGATAGATAAAGATATTTACAAAAAAGACGTACATATTCACGTCGCGTTTGTGTTATTATTGTTTCTGTAACAGTGTTCTGAATTATACGAGTTTATATGTTATGAAGCAAGAAAATGATGCAGGCTAGAACCATAAATTTGAAATGGAAACAGGAAGACTTAGCATATTCAATGTAAGTCACAGGTTGTTAAGATGGTTTACTCTACCATTTCTCCATACAGGTATAGTTATTTACGTAGTATATTTCAGTGTCATAATACTTCAATACTCCATTTTTTAGTGCCCAAGAGTTAATTAAGGTTACAAAAGTTTCAAAAATAGTTGTACACAAAATTATAAGCCAGATACATCTCTGAACATGCCAACTGACTTTAATCGATAAGTAGATTTCCTGTTCTATATAGTTAATTCCATACAAGTTAGATGTGAATCAGTCCTCATGTTTGACAAAAATAAAGTATATGCTGACCACATATTATACGAACTTTTCCAATAACTACGAAAAACTAGTTAACTTAGAGATTAATGTTTTTTTGCTTGCAATATTTAAATGTATCAGTTGATCTATATTTTATTACAAAATAAAAGTTTCATGCTTAAACATGCTATATTATTTACTTATACCATAAAAATAAAAGCAACAACAATATTAATGTAACATGATTTTTGTTGGCCATTAGCCAAGAACAACTGGTTGATTGTGCCAGTGTGAGCAACTTGGCACAGTTGTCTGACAGTAATACACATCATCAGATAAAAAGTAAAAAATAATCAAGAAAATATCCGCCAAAAAATCTATCGCTTTTCTTTTAGTATAGTGAAACTCAACCCAAGTTTCAGTAAAAATAAGAATAAAATGCCTGTTAGTAAGCTAAAAAGGAATATTGTCATGTACATAATCCAGTCATTGTTTCCCTCAAATGAGTAAATAAACACTTTTTCACTTGATACTACATAGTAGTGTTGCCACTGTTTTCAGCCATTTTACACTCTATAAGTGCCCTAATTGAAATAAGTTCTTTAAAAAGTGTTATTTCAAATAAATCACTTGACAAATCTCGACGCAATCGCTAATATCAGTATAGGGATTTGTTAAGATTGTTAAATATTCGTAGATTACATCACAAGTTAACTCAAACAGAAGAAAATTTGTAGTTGTAGAAAGTACAGAAAAATAGTAATGCAGAAACAGTTCTGAATAGACTTGTGTACATCTTTCGACAATTTAAAAATTACTGTGGGATGGAATTTCATCAAATTATGTGCTTTATGAATGATGTTGTTACTACTAAATCATTAGCGAGCCAATAATTTCTTCGCCTCAAAGTTGAACATAAAGAAGCTTTCTGAAGATACGAGTTCATAACTTTCGTGAAATGCCTTCATATGAACCTGAAATATATCTAGATAAAGCCATACATTGAAAAATGAGTCAAAGATGCTCCTGCCTGGTATTATAGTTGAATCTTCAGAATATGACAACCGTATGGTAGATTTGCGATTATAAGAATATTTCAGTATGTTTGCCAATACTCTGTAGTCAACTTACCTCATACACAAGGTTCAAGACGCTTAAAGATAATCGGTAGAAAATCGATGCTCTCTGGATTTTTATCCAAGGAGACTTATACACGCAATTAACGATATGGAAAATGGTTGGATCAAGTAAACTAGTAGATTAGATGCAATTATAGTGTGTAACTATAAAATAATTAGTTATTTTTGTTGTAACGGGTGGACTGCAGGTTGCATGAGCAGCGTTTTATCGATCAATTCAGTGACACGGAAAACACGTACGAACGACCTAGTGTTCTGATTGGCCCTGCTTCGCTGTCTAACCCAGCCAGTTGAGTCCAGAACACAAGTCACAGCCTCTGAGATATGAATCATTATATTTTAGACATACTCTATTAATATACCAACCAACCAGACCACATCGTACCATAAAATAGAAAAGAACATTTGCACAATATTTAACAAGTGAAACAAATATCGACCAATAGGGAGTGTACATTTAAAGTCCAAGGTTGCCGTTAGACTTAACATGATAATTATTGGTATATTCCTCTGCATCCCTAACAATTTTCTACAGTTGCGGTGCTTTGTTCACATCAATATGTATGACTAAAGGGTACTAAAAAACTAATAGGTCATATTCAAGCGAACTAGTGTGAAATAAATTGGCATTTTTTCAGGCACAAATTCTTTATATAACACTTCTATGACTAAAAAAAACCAAAATTAAGGTAAATGAAACAATAAAGAAACGTCTTATAGCTTACCGTGAAGAAAATCAATAAACCGTTCTAAATCATTCACTTGAGTTTTCAACTGTTCCACAAGTTTTTCGTTAACTTTTACAGGATTTAAAAACTGAATTTAAAAGGAAAAACTGTTAATGTAATGTCGCAGTAAGTTGCTACAAGAAAAATAGGTGAATTATTCCTACGATTTACATAAAATAACAGTTGACTGGGGTTTTGGAAGTTCAATTTAAAGCGATCTGATGAAAGAAACAATACAGATTACTGGAAGTAGTTTGGTAAATTTTAACGATTATCCACTTTTAAGACGCGTCGTATATATCTTTTAATCAGATTTTTAAACACACGCCTAAAGAACAAATGTTTGAGACAATGGATGCTTCCAAAAACATCACAAACGTAACCGGGTAAAGTGCTACGTTTCCAGGTATTTGACACTACAAAATAAACAATCTCCACAAAACTAAGTACACTACGACTTTTCTTCCCAATGTCATTAGGTTTGACTTGAATTTAGAACTTTGAAAATGTTTTTTTGCATATTAATATAAATGAGATTGAGGTTTTAGCCTGATATCATATATGATTAACTTGATAAATCTTTTCAACAAGTTAACTAATTAAATTCCTGACTGCTGACCTATATATGAAATAACTTGATAAACATTTTCATAAAATTCTAGTTAGTTAATAATATTTTTCTACATTTACAACTTCCATTTTTAAATCCTTCAATCAATATTAGCATGTTTTCTATATTCGGATCAGATTTAAGAATTTAAAATATGGTCGGTTCGTCACCTTTACATAACTAAGATAGACATTATGTAGTTATAATCTGAGCAGCTGACTAGTAACGTCTCCATTGTTGGAAAATAAGGTTGTGAATTCTGTGAGTTGTCCTTAAAACTGTGACTATTTTTTACTGGTAAATACTACTAGTTATAAAAAAATAAATTTCGAACTGTTTGTAGATATTAAAATATCTAAAGTTTGATAATAAAATATTCCACTAGATTAACACCAGCTTTTGTTGATAAAATAAAATGAGTTCAATTATTTTTTCTGTTATTTTTTCTTCACTTTAAATTGTGTGTTTGGAATAATAATTCCAAAGACATTTCATTACGAAATAATTGATAGATGATGATCGAACTCACTTGATTGACAGCCTTATCTACAACTTGTTGCAGTTCAGCAGCTGGAAGTTTATCAACATTAGAAATATTCAATTCAAGTTTCTCTCGTAGGCCTTCTAGTACTAAACGCTGCTTCTCTAGGATAGCTTGAGTTGGCGGTTCACTTTGCTCACCAGTCTTCAAGAAGACAAAGCAACAGGAATAATACATTAAATAATATTGATTTAGACAAGCAAACAAAATAATCTTTATACAAAAAAATAATTTTCCGCATTTTAGTATCATTATCAAAACTTTAATTTTCATCTGAAAATTTACCGAACAATAACTACCGGATGATATTGATGATCAATAACGAAAAGTCATTAAAGTTCACAATTTAAAAGGACATTTTAGAATTATTCGAAACTGTTTCTGTATAGCTGCAACTGAAATTCCGTGTGCTCCTTACATTCTTGCCATGACTAATAACTTCGCTATTAGAAACTTTTCTCTCAAAAAGAACCATTAAAAAAGCTCATTCTTGTTAACACAAAGTAACTCACATACAGAAGAAAAGAACAAGAATTGATTTTATTAGATGAAACGAATGGGAACTATATTCGCATACTCTTATATAAAATTACAAAGGTTGGGTGCTACTTACTAATCATCCAACGAGTAGTCAAAAGTGAAATCTGGAAATAATTTTACGAGATTTAATAGTTGTTAAACGAAGTAATGAATATTAATCCTAAATACAAGTGTAGAATATTCATCAAAAGAATCTTGAGTTGTTGTTTTGTCGACCAGAAGTAATAAAGTAAAATTAAACGAACTCACAAAAATTCATTTGTAGAAAAACCACTACATCCGATTTGTTTCAACTGTGTAACAGAATTACAGTTGATTGTTATTCTTATTTACAGTTTCAAGAATTACGCCCAAATGTAACTTAGGATGAATTAGTTTGAAATTATATTAACTTTAAATAAGCCCACTTAAAAGGTATTTGAGTGTTAACTAAGTATTTGAATAACTGAGAAAGATTTATGACTACAAATTGAATTTATTTAGGTAATCAAGTAGGTATTTATAGTTGTTTATGAGGGTCAACAAGGGCTGATGTCTACTGTTCTGTAAAGAATACAATTCATTTTTGATCATTAATAAATTCTTCCTTAAACAATAGTATAAATTGTTTTATTCTCTCTACTATTTATTCCTACGTCTAAAGAGATTAAAATAAAACTAACTTTTGTTAATTTAAGTGCGTGCTCCAACTATTATCTCTTGAAAAGTACTCGAATGGATATTAGTAGTGTTACGATACATTTAAGGCTGTTATAACTGAAAGTTCTGTTATCACTGTTGGAGTGTAATGAACACTCCTATATATAAAATATTAAAAAATAATCCGAAACTTTGTTTTGCTCTTGAGACCGAAATACACAAGTCCGGAAGTAGTGGATACCTTCACATAACAATTGAATATGCCTGGAAGTATAGTCGTTTTGACGTAAGGTGTTTTGAAATGCTCTGATATCAAGGATTTCGTCGATATTAATTGTAAATAGAGAAGTGTAAAAATTAACTGAATTGGGTTTTTCATCGTCAAATTCTTAGTGAGATATAAATTAAACGATCATTGAAACAATTATTACATAAAGTCCAGAATTAGTCAGGTTTTCTTTTTCTTTTCACTTCTCCACATACAGTAACGTCACATAAAAGATAAAGGTCCAAATTCACAACTTTGCAGAAATTGGACCGATTTCCTGGAAATTTATGGGAGACCTTACTAAAACCTTTGTGGACATTTATGGGAAATGCGACAAAACAATATAAAGTTTCCATTGGTTTGAAGTTTCTGGTCAAAATTTCCAATGACTCTAGGGGAATTCCTAAAATTTACATTAAATTTGTATAGTTTGAGGCGATCTAATGAACTTTATAAATACACCGATAAAATTTCCGTTGGTACTGGAGAAGACCACAAAATTTGAAACGACTTTAGTGAGAATTCCCAAAAATTCCTACACACTCAGGAAATTGTGTAACATAAAATAACTTTCCGATCGTTTCCTAAAGTATCCTTCTATTATTATAAATATCATAAATATCTTTTATCCTGCTGTACTTCTTCGTTTGTATATGTATTGTCTTTTTGTTATTTGACAAATATCTTGTTAAGCGGAGTATAAAATCATAATCACTATATAAAATTTAAAACCATTGTGTTATAAAAGTTATTTCTTTGCTAGTAGGTATTTTTAAACAGTAAGATAATTTAATTTTAACCACCGGTAATTCGTAAACCACTCAAAATAAACCAGCACAGAGTATTTATCTCAATCTAGTTTGCAATTCCAAATGTAACTGTAATCACAGGTTGAAGATCACATGTTTACACTATAGTAAATCCCACAATACTGCTCACTGAATGAGTCAGAATATAGTTGTTTAATTGTTCAAACTTCAGTCGATTTGCTGATTTTGTTGATTGCCTATTTTTGCCCAACAGTAACTTGAATCTGTCCAAGTTGTCCTTTATATGGATTTCAGTCTTCAAATGCAGCCACATGACATATTTTTTCGGAAGCACCTTTGGAAATATACTTTCCGTGAAGAGAATCGCAATAAATAGATCTTAAATTTCGGAATTAAAACGAAAATGTTTTACATTTGTCTCTATATATTAAAGTGGTTCTATGTACCTGAAACTCCAGTGATAGTTTGTTTTATAATAATGGATAAAATGTTTTTTTTTGAATTGAAATAAAAACACACTTTTAAAACTGTTACATAACAGAAGGTAAAAGGGAATAAAACAGTAAACAGATAAAACAATTCAGAATGAACCATATGATGTTCAACTGTTTTATGTTTCATAAAAATCCAAGTTGTTATAAGTTATTTTATATAAGAAGTGAACAACACTACTTTTCTAAACTTAATTTATTCTTGTTCGTAATGGTAATCGTTTATAATCAGTTAACAAGATGAATTTATTCATCATCACTTATCTATTTAAGTAGTTAAAAGAAAAATTAAGTGAACTCATATGAAATTAGATTAAGAATAAAATATCTGATGGTTATTCTTAAATACTACTCATTGATTATTAGTTAAGATTCATAATACTCAAATCTTTTGTTTTGTGATAAATTAAACAAGGATAATCGTATTATCGATTATTATCAAATAGATGAGATCGGTTGTAGGAAAAACGAACATGGAATGAATTAGTATAATACTTGTAGGAAATTTATAAAGTAAACTATAAATGCGTAGGCGTTATGCAAATATCTATATTTACAAATAAATGAAACGTAAGGTAAAAATCAATAAATGAAAATAACCAATGAAATTGTAAATTAAACTTGATGAATGAATTTTCTAGATGAATAAAATAAATGAATGAACGGAGATGTTATTCTTAGTTTAAAAAAAGAAAATAAATCGTTTTATTATCAGAATGGGTTTTGTGGAGATTGATTGGAGTTAGACATTAACACCGTTGGATGCAGGCTCAGTGGTTTAGTTGGTTAAGCACCTGGCGCAAGGCTGATAGGTCCTGGGTTCGAATCTCGCGGGGGGCGGGATCGTGTATGCGCACTGCTGAGGAGTCCCATACTAGGACGAAACGGCCGTCCAGTGTTTCCAGGTTTTCCATGGTGGTCTAGCTTCAATTGACTCATGATTTCAACCAGTGAAATCGTTTTATGTTTTATGCAGGGGATTAAATTTATTTATTAATAAAAGAAGTTTAGAAATTATTGTCTACTATAAATTAAGTTTTAGGCAACTAATTCATTAAAAAGACAATCGTATTGAGGAAAAAAGATATTGTAAAACTTGAAAGATGTTAAAATATTTCTCATTTAACGTAATCATAATCGTAAGCTAAATATTGAATTTTAATAGTATATTACTGTTAAATTTAGTATAAACGAAGTAACAATACAGTGAAATATTACAGTAAAGTACTTTAAATTTCTTTTGAATCCGTGAGTTAAACAAGACGCAACTTAACGTTTTCAAGAAATCAGTAAACTTTCTCTCATGTATATTATTAGGCAAATAAATATTCGAAACCAGAACTTACTAAGACGAATATTTATTCAGTTAAGAGGTTATGTATAAAATGAATCGAGTCTAGTGACGATACATTCTTACGTTGGTGAGGTGTGCATTTTTAATGGTCGACCTCTTCTAACCCCACTCCACCTTGTGGGAAGGCAGCATCGCTGTTATGTTGGTTGTCTGAGGGAAGCACCATACTGCCGATACACCTCTATACAGTCAGCAGTACGACTGCACCCTCAGACCTTGGGTTTTCTGCTTTTAGTGTTATCATTCTCCAACCGATCTCCCTGTAGAACCTTGAGGAACGATTGTTCCAGCCAGTATAGCTCGAATGATTCACTAGGATAGGTAAACTCAACCACCACGTCAAGGTAGTGGTAACGGTTGGAACTTCAATTAGATATCTTATATTAGTAATAGTCATAAAACTATCATAGCTAGTACGAACAGATTATATGTCAAATTACGTTTATCTAAGTAGCATAATTAAATATCGATTGTCAAGAATCAAAGTTCAATGAATGCAATCGTTGACTGGTATTTTCAGTCGAATTTCCTCTAAATCAAACTAAACTAACTAGTTATTACTTCATTTAACCAATACTTGCTTAATATGGAAACTCTTGGAAATTCGTTAAGGTTAGATTCACTTCAAGTATTTTCATCAGTATGTTATTGAATTATTACTCACCAGTACTGGGCAGTTTGTAGACAGATGAATTGATATAGGTAAATTATAGGATGGAGTGTCAAATCTTCAACTACAGACATCTGTACTTTTCTGAGTAACCTAGAATTCCCTGACATATTAAGACAAGAATAACATTTTAATACAATCGTTTTTAAATTTTATATCAGATACTTACTTAGTTGGCTTGCGTGTATGCTTCGTGTTAATATATGATATTGAATACGATTTACAGAATACTTTTATCTGATGCTACAACTCAATAATTCACACTAATAAGTACTTATTAAGTCAATTAACAAAATGTGAATAACACTCAAAGAAGTCAAATTACCACAAAAGTTGAATTTGAAAAGGAACAGAGGTGTGTTGATCAAAATTCACCGATCATACGAGTAAAGAAACAAAACGTAAGTTTTTTCAAACCCATAGCGATTATGAATACTAAATTATTCGGACAAAAGGACTTAGTATTACTATGCGATCCAAAGGAAGTTCATTTTAACGGCAGCACTTAAACTTCAAATACTTAAGAACCATTTAGATTGCTAAGTAGAATATGAATCAATGGATTTCAGACATAAAACAGGAAATAATGTTGATGTTAAAACTACTGAGAACATCAGAAGCATAATTGTAAGAAATGGTTGTTCTTAGAACAACAAAAGATTACCTCATAAGCGAATCTTTCTAGGTCATCAAGATGTTTTTTCAGCTGTTCAATCATTTTCTGAGGTCGTCCATCTAAACTTGAAGTACATGCTTGGGATTCTGAAGATAACTAAATGTACAGACATATATATATATATACCCATTATCAAAATAAAGGTCTTTAAAAACATCGAATAACAACCTATAGATATGGTTAACTATTCAAAAACATTATCAAGAAATTAAAATATTCTATATAGATTTGCTTATCGAGTTATATTCGGGATTAAAACTATGAAGCTCTCCTTGATCTAAGTGAGGATTCAGTCTCAAAAGTAGCCGTGCGTCCAAATAATATCAACCAAACTTTACCAGCTGTCTCCCAGTCTTTTAGAGCTTCTACAAATTTCGTGAAATAAAGTTTAATAATAACTTTTGACATGTGAATGACATTTAGAATAGTAATGCTGTAATGAACAACATTTCTAAAAGCATTGATAGCAGCAATAACAAAAATGTGAAAACATCATTTTTTGTATTACTCGCTTCATGAAAATTACGTCTGTTGTGTGATAACTCATGTGTGACTGGAGTTCAAAACGATTCACGTGGAGTGAAAATATCTGAGCACAATTTAGCATAAACCGTAAAAGTGCTTTTTAAAGGGAGATTTTAAAATATCCAGCGAATACTATCAATGTAAAGTGAGTCACAAAAGCTTTTATAATCCTATCATATTTATTGTTCATAACGTGAAGTAGCTAAGTAAAAATAAAAATAAAAACAAAATCACTAATGTCATAAAAGGTGAAACCATCAGAACTTAACAACTTAATGGTAATAGCGATTAATATTTGCAGATGCGACGCTTTGAACTACTCTCAGTATTTGAAGATTACCGAAATACCTTTTTTCTATCAGCACTCAGAAGGATTTTCACTAACGTATAAAATTAAATCAAGTAACATAACTTTCATTTTATACGACACCTAAATGTCTCGCAGTCATAGGCCAAATGTCAAATAAATAAACCATTCTCATCTCCAAACTGCAGACGTATACGTACAATTTTATGATGCTCTCAAATTCGGGTTTACCAAAAAATATAAAATGACTTAAAATCGACCAAAGAACTAACTTTACTGCATTGTTCCGCCAGTGATTGTAGGTCAGGGATTCCTCTGGAGGCAAATTCCTCGAGAGACTTAAGCATGAGATCTCTGCAATCAGACTCAGCATTTATTACTTGCCCTAGACGAAATTGCACCTGTAAAATAAGAATATATGTCATTTTTACAGTGGCTTGTAATGATATACCCAGCATGAAGATGGTCAGTTATCGATTAGCACCACGCAAAAATCATAGATTTAATCAAAAGACCTTCAGTGCCAAAAGTTAGATTTTTTCAGTAGATTTATGGATAACTTTCCATTCAATAAAAATGTAACATAGATATTTCATATATTATAAATCAAACTGATATGAATACATAAAATCTTAATCCACAGACAATGATGGAAAAATACATAAGCTAGGTAAAGACGATGAAAAAAGTAATCACAAATGATTAAATTTATGTTTACTAAACGGCTCCTTCTAAATCTAGAAGGCGATAAATGAATATTTTCAAACGTTTTCCTGCAATGAGAATAAAGTTTTTTTCACCTTGAAGTTCAGCTCTGATACACTTGCTGTAACCCCTTGCCAAGAACAATGTAGCCAATATCCATGGTGTCATTAAAATATGTACTTTGTGTTTTTTGTTTACATACAAACTTAAAGCTACTTTCCAGAATGCTAATAATATCTCACCAAAGAACAATCTTATCAAAATAGATACAGATTTTTAAATCAATGTTGCATAACCCATATTAAATACCGAGCGATCAAATAAATAAATGATCTAGTAGTGAACGGATTCGCAGGTATAAGAGAAACAAAAAAAGTTTTGAAATGAACATACAAATGTCACTTTCTCTTAAGAACCAGTAGAACAACTCGAAAAAGAGGAAATATTTATAAACTAGAGCTCCTGTTCAAAATTCTTAAAAATACTATTTGTCTTAGCGACGAGAGATATTTTTTAATGAATGTACGATAAATTAACGGGTTGAACTCGAAGTGACATAGATATTTGACGTAAGTACGATGTTTGCTCATCTAGGAAACTGGTTCTTACATCTATAAAACTTAACTTCGTGGTATTCAAGAATTTCGACCTTGTATGATCACTAAACATCTGCCTTAATCTTGGCTTCAGCTATTTTGTGTCATAGTTTCCTGCTAAAGCACACAACAATATTTAACATTGGACTTGAACTTTTTATCTAGGTAATTTTGTGTTTTGCGTGAGAATTAACGGTTCTTGTTTGGATCAATTTTGAATTTATTAGAGACTGTGTGAAAAGACTGAAGCTGTGATAAACTAATTTTCTGGTTAGGCTAGAATTTTGTCCATTCATCTAATAGCATACGGTTGTGCCCAAAGCTATCTTCGAGCTTACCTAATTGTAACTACCTCCCTGAACATTTTAAGTGAGATAAACGAATAGCCTCTACCTAGATGCAGCACTAAAAAATAAGAAAGTTATGCGTGACTACCTGATTGATTTCAGAGTCCCAAATTCCCAGATGTTAGCAAATCATTAACCAGGTAGAGATCTATGCACTTAGGTTCGAGCAACAACATAAGTGTAGAGAATAAAACCATACGTTTTTATTTCATCATAGAACGCGAAGTGACTTTATATTAATATTATATATGTTAATCATTTAGATTTTAGCAAGTCTCATTTTTCTTTCCATAAATAAACATCTATTAGGCGGTTACAAGAAGAATTACAAACCGTGAACAAATAAACTCAGTGGAATTCTGTTCTACTCATCTAGTAATTAATGACTGGGACACACTGCGCGAACATTTGGTAACGGCCTCAAAGAGCGGACACTTACAATAAGCTGGATCTTCTATGGAAAAAAACCGAGAGGACTAACAAATGCTAACTGACTTACTATCCTTGTTACTGAAGACTGATACTACTCGATTGTCCTAACTTAATATTGGTAAGCGATGTTCAAAATTGTGGCCAGATGGTTGAAATTCAATTGCTTAAACCGTTGAAGGACCGCCTCGAATTTTATAGATGGCCATGTTAAAAAGAAATAAATCGTCGGTAGTGTAGATTACTAACAACAATATCTTGACTCAAAACCTGAGGTAAATACATTTGGTGGATAGTAAAAACAAGATTCACTTATTAAATAATATTCTCTTTACCTTCAAAATACAAATGTTGAAACAATGACGAGAACTCTATAGCTTCCAAATAAAACTCCTCTTATACATATAGGAGGAGTTGTACTCAGAAGTTAGCATAACACATTTGTTGGAAAATTACCTGGGCGATGTGAGAAGTAAAAGCCATCAACAAACTGTTGAGGTGTTCATTTTCTATGGCTAGGCGAGACAATTCAGACTCCTGGTCAAATTCATTATCTACGTGATTCTCTTCAAACGCATGATAACCAGGTTCAGGACTTGCGTTTGCACCGAGAGGTGTCCATCTTTCTTTGGGGCGGCCATTTTCTTCCACGAGTGAGAACACTTCTTCACTTTGAGGAGTACAGTTAATTTGATGGTTCGATGATTGTATAAGACTCATATTTGAAACATAAACACGCAGTTACAGAAAATCAAGCTGATTAACCCGCTACTAACCCTGATACAAAGTAAACCATTTTGACTGGTTTAAACGCACTCTGTTCAAACTTCGTTGGGCAGAAAAATGACAGACATTTTGTATTTAAAGCACGTGTCTCAATTAACGAAAAGTCCCTTCATTACAGAAAGATACTCAGTATATTTTTTTACCTCAGAACATGAGGAACAAAACAATAAATAATTAATAGGATGATCGAGTAATAAAACCTAAAGTTGCCTACTCCTACGCCATTGAAACAAAAGATAATTTTAACAACTCCTCCAAAGCAATCAAAGTAATTTGGATTCTCGATTGCTTCTATGGTGAGTGTTGAAGATCACGTAAAATGTGACCATCACATTTCGTAGAATTGTGGAAGTTAAATCAAACTTTGAAGGCGTCAGCACACAGTAAGCACTACAATAGAAGATTCCAAACGTTCATAGTTTGATCAAAGAAGTCAACTCTCAAACGCTAATAATGTAATCCTGGATTACTCCTTTCTCGGATCACTATTCTTGGGTATAAATACGAAGCTAAGAAATATTGATAATAAACTTCTGGTTCGTTATGTGTTAATCACCACTTAAAATGCAGCAGGTTGACCTTTCTTAACCACCACGCCTTCTGTTTTCACTAACTGGGAGTATGATCACAGCTGTTCAATACTTTTAGGCCCTTTGTGTTTACTTGTTATCTCTGTTATAACTCGTAACCTTGAGAGTTTTTACGGGATTGTTGCTGACCATTTATCTTTTCTTTATTTAGTTGTACTTTGTACAGGGTGTTTTTTCATATGGACGCATTATTGCACGCATAAGTCGATATTCTGTTTGCTTACGTTTTACTTTAACTGTTATAGATTTATCGCTTACATCAAATTATATATTGTACATCCTCCTGCCATTGCTTGTGAAACTCGCTGTTGATTACCCTGTAAGACTCCATAAATGACTCACGGTTTGACACTCTCATGAAAAAGGTAGGCCAGAAATGCATGTGCACTGGATGCATATTTAGTTACAACAATCCTCAACACTATGTTTCGCCATTTTTTAAGTTTTTATGAGATTCGTTATCTGTAACCCGATGACCTGGGACGAATAGTTTTGTAGCGGTAAATAAATCCCCCAAATAAATACCTCGTTAAGTTTTCGATATTGGATGCTGACCACATTAGTTTTAATGAACTCACCTAACTGAAGGTGCTCGTTCATTCATCCTCACCAGATCACGAGTGGGAACTCTGTGCTCAACACCTACTTCAATGGCTTGCCTAATTAGGTCAGACGATTCTCGATATGTTGATAGTCCATCAAATATATCTTCAAAAGACAGAAGCGAGGAAGTCCGATTTCACTTGGTGGGTACTTGGTGAGTACAGGTTAACGCGTTGTCAAGCTCTGAATACCTGTGGCATCTTCAGTTTCAATTAGAACTCGGGCACAAATGCTCCTGAATATATATATATACTTGACATTGAGATTCGTTGTGATATATATTTGAAGTAAACAGGATCAAATTATGAGGGAGTTTAATCGACAAAACAGCTGTATTTAGTATACCTTAAAATAAGACACGTAAGAATTAATCTGGATTTATTTATATCGGCTATGATGATCTAGAAATTCCATTAAAATGTGACTAACAAATAGGAGCATATTACAAAGATACGTTTCAACTAGTCGATGGTCACGTGCAACGAAGAAAATAATAAATGTCTTCCGGTTCAAATTACCACAGATCATGACATATCCCACAGTAATGAGTTCAATAGCAGGATCAACAGACGTACAAAAAATTGTAAGTAGAAAGGAGAAAAATTGTACGAGATTTCGAGACCTAGGCTGTACGCAGATCAGCTCAAAAACGGGTAGGCTGATTGACAGATTACATATTTTGCTTTGGTCGCTCGTAGCTCTTCTAAAATCTACGCCTCCGTTGGCCATCGTTGCGCATCAGGATAGTTGGTGGAGTGGAATACATAATACAAAGTTCAAATAAGTTGACTAGAATACTCTATCTCACCTACCAATTTACAATTATTACTTGGTGTCCCATGCCTTACTCCACTAGTTCCTCTTCAGTGGCCCCAAAATGCACGAGCGATGCTTCAAATACCTCTAGGATCGAATTATAGTGACCCGCGAATATACTTCATTTTTATTCATTACATTGCACACCATAAAGTGCATCAACGCAGGCTGCTAACAAGCGAACTCGTCTTTTATTCGACAGACAGATATTTTCTCGAAATTCCAGACCTATTGTAATCATTAGTATTTCGTAATACTGTTTAATTACGGTCTAATTTGGTTTAAGTACATTTATCTTTGCTGATATGACAACAGAACTAACCTCGAAATTGCAGATATGTCATGATGCGACCACTTACTCCACAAATCTTACGTGAAATTCAAATTAATTTATACAGTGACTCATCATACGTGTGAATCAGCAATATGACGTCTAGCACACACTTGGGCTGGAAAGCGAATGATACTGTAGTAGTATTGGTTCCTAACCACGCGAATTATGTTAGGTCAGTGAACTGTTGATTGTTATATTTGAATCTGTCCATTATCAGATTACAAAATCGGCAATCAAAATATCGACTTGTATTATATTGCCCCTGTGCTAAACAAATGATAGGTAAGACAACACAAGCAGTCTTTAGCAAACCCTCACGCACAGGTCGAATAGATAGAAGAAAACTTGATGATGAAGTGTAGCATGAGGATATGTTATTTGGAAACAAGTAAAAGACCTAGAAACGACAGTGAAAAGCGATGCAAGAGAAGACAATATGAGATAAATATACGAAATGAGGGAGAAACTAGCAGAGTAGCCATTAAAGCACACAGAAGGTGACTCAGTCACTGAGATTCATGAGCAGTGGAACAGGTGAGCAGAAGACATCGAAGTGCTCTTGAGTGGAGCAGCTTCAATAAACAACCGAATGCAAAATAAAACAAACAGAAATTTTAATAGATCCCTCAAACCAGATAGGCACAAAACAGTTATGCTAGGTATAAGATCACATACTAAAAAACATATCGGATGGTAGCCATCAGAATTGTTCACGGAACAACTTTGTATTTAGCAACGGAATCTTTCACCTTAGATAAGTGTCTCACTACACACAAGGGATTATATGAAACGTGTATCAGCACAATTTGAGTGACTTATAAACAACAATGCTCAGAAAACACAAACGGTGCGTATGCACTCTTGACTACGAGTTAACACCACTTGTGTATTCTTTAGACGAGCTAACATGCTACAACTATTACAAACATCTGAACAGATGCCAAACGTCACATGAGCTCTGCTGGACCGCACTTCAGAAAGAAGGAAGGATCACTTGTACGGGAGTAAGTATCGCACGAGGCTTATCTGACTAGTGAGAACGAAACAGTAACAAAATGGAGAATGCATGATTCGGCGATGACCAACGCCACAGAATAAAAATGTGAATGCTACCAAGACAGACCAACAGACGAGGAATGTTTGTTACACATATAGATTACTACTGAACAGATAAGATGAGTGGTATTCATTATGCACCGTAAGTGTTACTAAGTTATACGAAGAGCCAATTATCTTTTAGGGTCCACAATTTGTTGAAGAAACTGAATGGACATGGTTTTGTTTTACTAATTGAAAATTTCCTACCGGAGAAGAAAATGGTACATTACGTTCTGTTGGAAAAGATTTAGGAAGAAGAATAAATACCAACAAACCAGAAAGAAGGGTACCTGAACAGAATACCAAAGAAGGGAAATTTGATCGAGTGCGAGAATTACCGATGCATCACAATACTATCAGTACAAGAGAGTTTCCAACAGTGTTGCGAGACCAAACGAAAAAATTCAATGGACACCAACCTTAAGATCAACAAAACGAGTTTCGTATGGATCGACCATGAGCCGACCGAGTTGCGACACTTCGGATCATCACCAAGCAACCGATTGAATGAAGCTCGTCACTATACATCAGCCTCTTCAACTACGAGAAAGCATTCAACAGTGTAGATAGGAAGGTTTCGTGGAACCTCCCTTAACATTATGGAGTCTCTGACGAGACTATCACCATCATGTGGAAATCTTACGAGTGACTGAAATGCGAAGTTGTGTCTAGAGGACAGCTCGTAAACGCATTCCAAAGTCAGAATTTTTAATAAGAACGTTGAAAGCTTTATTGTGGGGAGATGAAACATGGAAAACTATTACAACCAACATGAAAAAAGTAACAGGTTTTTATAAATAGCTGTTCAGAAGAAACTCTCCATATCCATTAGCCAGACATCATGAGGAAGAACCCATTGTGTCAGCGAACAGACTGGCTTTCATATGAGCAGGAAATTAGGGAGACACTCGAGACCATCGGTGGCACTGTATGAAAATCGAACTGCATAGAGTCAAGCCCTATCTTGGAGTTAAGAGAAGCGGGAAAGAGGCAAACAGGGGTAACGTTTACACTGGTAATCAACGTTGGATACCAAAAGTATGAATAGTATCTGAAAGCTAATGAAGAGGACTCACCATGATAGATTTTGATGAATATTCTTGGTGGGCGGCACACGCTTATCCAGGAGGAGTATCAGACGTATATAAGTAAATATGTAGAGTATTATCTTTGAGTTAACAATTTTCATCACATTGGAAGGTAATTTTAAGCAAAATACTACTGCTGATTAGTTGCTTTACATTTTACATTTCTCAATGTAATAGCGATCGTTCCCAGTCTACCTCCAGTTTACTGTATTTACAAGCCTTTGAATGGCCAATCTAATACAGACACTTTAAGTGTACATTTGATCGTCATCTAGGCATTTCAAATTCAAGCCCGCAGTTATTGGTTTTCCCGGTGTCCAACGTCAATATGTAGTGATATTGCCGAACATTCATGTATACAAGTCGCTAAAATGGTTTTCTACAACAAATCTTAATATGACACTTAAAACTTTCTCAATAAAACTCTATAGGAAGCTGTGTTGTTCTGGATAATACTGTTGATGTGTGGAACTTGTTCGATCCCAAT